ATAGTTTGTACCCATAAAAGACTAGCGGGAAATATGGCACTAAAATAACCACTCCTCTTAAACTTTCGTTGATTTGCTTCTTTTGCAAAAAAAGTGAATTCTCTCAGTTAAAGATATGCCTTGTGCAGGTACTTGCTGTTATCTGAGTTGCCCAACCCAGTCTGTACTACAGGTGTAACCAACACAACCTGCTGCCTTGGCCAAACAAGGATGGATAATAATGACAGATTGGGCCATAATAGGTTTATAATGTGGGCAAGTAATTATTATGGACTGAAGTAATTCCATCAACCCTTGTGACTGGGGCTCCAGAGATAACACGACAAAATGTCAATACAATAAAAGAGTGAGATGGGGGAAGACTTTTGGTTATTTTTCCTTCCTTCTTTTCAGAACTGAGCAAGGAAAAAATCTGATTGTTTCATAAATTTAGGCCCTTCATATTTCCATGGAGGCCACCAGGAGAAAAATATGTAGAAATTGTAGATTTGCTCACAGAATGGTGAGGATGATGATGGAGCTCAGCAGAGAGCTCGGGCAGCTCATGCACAAAGCAAGTCTGGATTCTTTTAGGGTTTTGTCTAAATGCAGCTACATAAATTCATTGATAACACAGTGTCTGAACACTGTTTATAGAAGTGTTGGTGTAAGGTGTGGTAATCTGCCAAAGCCTGACCTTTCATTCCCATTGCTTTGTAGTTGTTATTTTTTCATTAAAAAAATCACCTCAGTGAACAGAAACAACTTGTTTGATCTAGACACTGCAGCTGCTAAATTTCCAAGGTTTGTTGGTGTTTTATTTTGGTTTGGGCTGGGGTTTTTTGTTTGTTTGGGTTTTTTTCCCCTCCAAAATCAAACCTTTGATTTTCATTGTCCTGATTGGTTAACCTGAATTACGGGTTGTTAAGAATCCTGGTGCTGTGTTGTTGCATCATGAGATGTTCTTGCTAAATCCTGTGAGAAATGTCACCTCTGCTGTTTCCCTCTAAGTCAGGGAGTGGTAGAGAGGAGGAGGGAGAGAGATATTGAAAATCCAGGTAGAACAAGCTGAGCACCAGAGGATTCTAGAAACGGGTGACGAGCTTTGAGACAGGAGTAACCCATTTCCTGTAAGTATTTTGGAAACTCAGCCTGGGTGAAACCTTCCTGTCTCCATAACCATCCCAGACAATGACACATTTCCTACCTTTGATCCTGCACACCAAATGGCTCATTTTTGGGGTACTCAGTGCATGAAGTGAGTGCTACATGAGCCAGGTTTGTCTTGGCTGCAGCCGGGAGGATTTAAGAAGGTTCATCACTGTGAGAAGGAGATTCCTTTGTACCTCTGTCACCCCCTGGGAATTCGGGAGCCTTTCAAGGCTTTTTGACTAGGACTGCAAGAGTGTTCATTTTTCCAGGAGGATGACTGCTGAGATGTTAAAACTAGTCAGGAGATTAATCTAAATGCTGAGCAGTAGAGTAAAAAGAATGGGTTTTATACAGCCCTAATCATTTGCTTTGAAAGGAGTGTTTGGTCTACCAAAAAGTCTTCAGGGCAATTTATCTAGAAAATAATGCTTTAAGGAAACTGTTATTTGATTTTCAGTGTTACCCAAAGCTGACACTGGGATGTGGGCACCTTTAGTTAAAAAAGAGTTGTCAGTACCTGGTTTTCCACTGGGCTTTATGTGGAAGCTGTGCCCAGAGGGGTGGGAAGGGTTGATGGGCACAGGACTGGCTGGTCCTCGGGATGTCTGTCTGTCTGTCTGTGTCTGTGTCTGTCTGTGCTGCAGAAGTGGCACCTGGTGCTGATGGTGATTGTTGGGTAAATGGTGGAATGAGGTATTCAAGGACCGAAGGACTCATTTTATTACCTAGAGTATAAGTTTGCTTTCTTTGCATCGGGGTAAATGATGTCAGAGTCAAAGCACATTCAAACCCAGGCACACAGGTTTGCAAGAGGAGCAGGAGGGAAAAACCATGTGGGTAAAAGGAGGTCTAGGGAATGTGAACCTGTAATATGGAGGGATCAGCTGAAGGGTGCACAGCACAGTTCAACTACCAGAAAAAAGGTCTGTGGTGTGGTGAGCAGACGTCTTGGCAGGATCAAAGCCTTCTTTTTAAATCTTTCCATCACAGTTCCAGTGTTGGAAGCCAGAAATAGCACAGGAGTAGCAGGAGCACCATATGGTGAGCATGGTCCTCTCCAAGACAGGGCTGGAACTGGGGGGCTGGCTGTGTGCTCTGCTCAGGAAACCTCATTTCAATGCTGAGCACCAAGGCTTCAGCTCTCAGAGTAAACACGGTGCTAATCTGATTGTTAAAGGTGGCATGTGAGTAATACCTGCCTCGGGGACCAGCTCAATTGCTCCCAAGGTAAAACTAATGAAGTCAGTGTAAAAGGTTGACACACATTCATGAAGATCAAATTTGACAAGCATCCTCTAGATATAGTTCACATAAAAAGGAGATGACAGTAATTTGCAGGATCCCTGGATTCTGGTGGTCTCTTTTTCTCTGTCTGTACCACGTACTGAAATATTTACTTCCAAACCCAACAGGACCCCACGGATGAAACGGGCAGGAAACTAATTTCTATGGATTTCAGCCCTGGCTGAGTCTGCTGGGTGAAAAAAATTGGGAAAAAAAAATAAATTACATTTTGCTTGCATACCTGCCCGGACATACCAGGCTCCTGCCTGCTTCATCAGCAGCTCCACAGCACACCTGCTCACCACTGCCTTCCTGCTGGCAGCTGAAGTGGCCCCCACTGGGGGATTTTGGTTTTTCTGAGAGACTCCAGCTCCCAATTTGTCAGCAACGTGAACAAAAAAAGAGGAAAGGAAAAACTCCCCCAGATTAGAGAGATCCTGGACTGGAGCAGCACCAGCTTCCCAGCAGGGCCAGCAGCGGTTCAGCGACGTGCCAGCGCTGCTGGTGTGACACCCACATGGCCCCTCCATGGCCAGCTGTCCCAGGAGCAGTCTTCTGGTGAAGTTTTAATTAGGTAAATTTATGATTATGCTTCAGAAAAAGCATTTGATCTTATGGACCGGGGGGGGGTGAGACTCGATGATCTCGAGAGGCCCCTTCCTGTCCTCAACGGTTCAGTCATTCTGTACAGTTTTAAATTCTACTTAATTATTAAGCCAGCAGCTGAGTTATTTTAGCTTTTTCGAGAAAACAAAAAGCAGCTATTATTTCTTAGCAGCAGATGTACAGCAACCCTTGATTATATTAATTTGTTCATAATTTTTCTTTGTTCGTAATTTGTTTCTGCTCATAACCTGCTGTTGCTATTCTCAGATGCTTTTTGTAAAGCTGCTGCAGGTCTCCTCCCTGCAAAAACACACTGAAAGTATTTTAACCCTCACCTCAGCCTTTCAACATGACTTGAGGACTCCTAAAATCTTAGTACATTGTATATTTTCCTTTAGAAAGAGGCAAGGGCTCAAAGCAAAAGCTCATCAACTCTGAAAATTGATTAGTCAGCAAATCAAATTATACCAACACAAAAAAAATCACTTTTCCCTTGAAATATTTGATTTTTTGTGTATTTCAGTGAATAGAGATGTGAGGTTTAACAGGATACTTGGACTCCCACAATTTTCTTGCATAATGCCCTCAGTATCTCCATGCCTGATCTGTTTGCATGATGGTGATGAGAAGAAAGAAAGTTTTTGTTATCATTCATCAAAGGCATTTTTTTCTTTTTTTAAACTTAGTGTCAGAGCCTGGGTTTCCTGGAACATCAAGCAGCAATTATCTCCCTGGGTTTGCTGACCTTTCAGTCAACTCGGATTTTGCTTTTGCATTCAATACTAACTCTGTGGCCAATTTTTAAAGGAGTCTCAGAAGTTCATCTTTAATTAGAAACCAGCAATCTTGTTCCTGGTCAGTCACGGGACTTCCCTCACTTCAGCTGCTGATTCAGTGCAGAGTGACGATGGTTTTGTTTGCAAACCTAAACACAGGCAAAATTTGAGCTGGTTTCAGTTAATAAAGAGCACCTCAAAAGATGGTTATGCCCTCGTATGCCTCAGGTTTTGGGGGTTCTGCCTGAAAAATGTGGGGCATCTGAGCCTCGTTGGCAGGTTCTGCAGCACTCAGAGGTTGTGGATGATGGAGAATTGGCTCTCTTGGATCATGTTTGTGGTCACTAACATGGATGGTGGCTTCAAAGCCACTGGAGTGTGACATTTCCCTGCTCCCAGCTGAGACAAAGGCTGGAGACAGACGGTGCCTGTGGCAACAGACCTTGAGAGCCAGTTTGAGGAGGAAGCTCAGGATGTCTGAGAGACATGTCTGGTGTAGGTTGCTATGAAGGACAAAAGACACCAGTCCCAAGGAGGAGATCTCCAAGTCTGATTTCTGTCCAGGCCTGGAGTGCACAATGCATTTGGTGTAAATGAGAACTTGACCTGCTCACACAGTCAGAAAGGTCTGGGAATAAAGAGCTGGAAGCAATAAGGGACTTAAAGCCACCTGAAATGCACAGATGTGAATGTGTGCTGGATAGGGTATCATGCCATGCTGGCAGCCTTGCTGGGTTGACTGATAAAGATATTCTTTACAAATAGTGAAATAGTGGCCTGGATATCTTAAAAGAGATTATTTGCTGGCTAATTATCCTCCTGAAGGTTTACCCTGTGGGTGTGGCGAGGTCCCTCTGACCTTTACTTTGGAGCTCCTCAAAAGAGAATAAACTTGGAGCCACCCAGGGAGGCTGTGCAGTGCCCATCCTGCAGCACAGCTGGAGCAGCCCAGGGTCCCAGGCTCCTCCTGCTCTTTGCAGTGTGTGTGTGTGTGGATTTCCCTCCTGTGCAAGTCAAATATTAAATGGTCCCTCTGCCTTTTTGTCTCTGTAAAAGTGTCTTGTGAAGACGTGATGCTCAAATACAATTTTTTCTCTGACAGCCCAGATAGCTGCTGGTGTGTTGAGTTAAACATATATGTATATTTACATGCTGTTACAATCTACTCTGAGGCTTGTAACCTGTATCTCCATTTTCTTGCAGAGTCTTCCTGGGTGTCTTCCAGGGTCTGAGCTCCACTGAGTGTTTGTCTCGGGTCTGTTCTGTTCAGCTCCTTCCCTGCACCTTCAGAGGCAAGCCTCTTCCCCAAAATCTACGCTGTTTGGCATTCATCCTGCAGCCAAGGAGAGCTCCTTCAGCAGTGGGATCTGCCCAAGAGGCAATGGGAATGGGTAAGGACTGCAAGGCTGTAGTTGCTGTCAGGTTCCTGCAGTTATGTAAAAGGGGAGGAGAGCTAAATAGTTTTGTTGAGGAAATTCCAGAAGAATGGGACAGTTGGCTTGGAGAGACTGTTCTGGGATCTCCTTTCTTGTTTTGATCTACACAAAACCTCTTGAGTTTTATTCTTGCCTAGATTTACATCTCATGTGTAAGAAGAGTCATTGCACTTATTTGAAAGGCAAACAAAACCCAAACACCACCCCCACCCCCAAACCCAACATACTGATGTGGATTGAGCAGCTCCCATTGGCCAACTACTTGAGGAAATATGGGAACATGGTCAGACTACAGTCATGGGATGGCTTTTAATGGTTCTAATGATGGCAAATCCTGAGGTGGCTTTGAGGTAGAAATTAAAGCATGGAATCATCTGACACAGCTATACTGTCCAAGTGATTTTAGTCCCCAAAGTAGTGTTTTTGTAGCTTGTTAACAGAAAAATCTCTTGGCCTGTATTGAGCATGGGAGAGGCTTGGGTGTGCTGGGAAATGTAAGGGTGCCCTGGGAGCCTGTGGAGGTGGAGGCTGTGCAGAGTCACTGCAGGAGTGCCTGGGAAATCTGGGCCTCCCGGAGCCTCCTCTGGCACTGCGGCTCCAAATTCATGGAATTAAGCACTGCAGAAGCCTCCAGCCTAACAAAGGAGCTGACAAAGGGGTTTGAGAGATTCTCTTTAGAGGGAACCCAAACTTTGAGAGCTTCCTGTGACTCTCGTAGCCATTCCTGGCTGGAAGAACTAATTCATGGAGCTGTTACAGCCCTAACATCTACACAAATTGACAAGTTTTCCTCACTGGGTCTGAGGGTGAAGTAAATTCTGCTCAGAGAACAGCTCCACACAGGTGCCAATTCCATCACATTATGTAAATAGCCTGTGACTAATGGAGAAGCCTCTGAAATGAAATGAAATAAAATAAAAGGCATCAGTCAGTGCATTTGCATGGAAACCAAAGGAACCTTGTTTAAAAATGAGTGATACCAGACAAGATAATTCTAAGGTTGCCATTGTGGAATATTTCTAAGTGTCTTATTAGCATAGAATTGAAAGGACAGTTTTGTATTTATGGAGTCTATCAGGTTCCACTGAGTACATCTGCTGTCCATCTGACCCTTCATTGTGAGGTTTCTCAAAGCTTTGCTCCATCTCATTTTGAATTGTTTTTCTGTATCTACTTCTATCTATTTTTCTCTCCCTATTTTCATTTTTTTTCTCCTCTGCCTTGTACCCCTCAGCTTTTAAATTTTCTCTCTCCTTTCATCAAGCTGACCATTTTAAATTTTTTTTCCTTGTTTCTCACATACCCTGTTGCTTTTTAATTTTTCGTCGTGTCTTTTATTTTTTTATGTCTCTCCTCTTGGTTCATCCCGACGCTTTAGAGGGTCACCTTGGCACAGTGGTGTCTCTGGAGTGTAATTTGTACCCCTCTGGGTTTGCCAGGGCATCTCTGCAGGTCACCCCTCTTCCTCAGAGCAGTCTTTGTGTCCTCCCTCCATCTCCTTTGCCTCCAGCATGTCAGCAGCTCCCTCATGACATCTGTGCTCTGGTCAAATCCCCTCCCGAGTGCCTTTGTGCCCTTGAGCTGTGTTTTGTCTGCTCTGTGCCCACCCTTTCCATCTGCAGCAGGTTTTGCATTTTTCTTTGACCTCTTGGTGATTCTTGGCCTTTGGGTACATGAGAACTGTCCTACCCCTGTCACAGACAGTACAATTTACCAGCTGGGCACAGTGGCAGTTTTACACAGGGTAATATTTATTTGTCAGTCGATGGGAGCAATCAAAGTCTTTAAATCACACACAGCACTGGCACTGCCTTTGTCACAGACAGAATTACAGTCAATAATCAATTGATCTCTCTGCTCAAAAGAATCATTTCCACAATGAATGCCAGTTGCCAAGTATCTAACCCTAGTTATATGTTCTTATAGTTAAACCAATCAACCATAAAATACACAGACAGGTAAGGGTATGTTCATTTACAAGGATGTTTATAAATATATTAGTCTGGTCTACACAACAGAACCACTTGAACAAAGCTCTGATGCACTTTAAGAAAAAAAAACAACCCAAGAGTTTGTTTGTACATTGGGATAGCATTTGGGAGTTCAGGTTCCCCCTCTAGTTTTCAATAATTAAATCCATGTTGCTGCTCCCCTGAGGAAACTCACAGTCCTCCAGCTGGGACTCAATGATCCTTGTGGGTCCTTTCCAACCCAGAATATTCCATGATTCTGTGATCAAGTAACAACTCTCTGGTGAGAAAGGCTGTTAGAATTTTGTCTACTTGCTATATCAATACAATGAGAGGAAATAAAGTTATCAACATTACCCAACACAGGGCAACATTTGCCAGTTTAACTTGAGCCACCTTTAGGCATTGCATATTGCAGTTACATGTATCACTGTCACACACCATGCTGGAGTCCATAATAATGCTTTAAAAACAAGCAACTCTTCTTTGTTCCTATTCCTGTCAAAGTCAGTTCACTCCTACTGACTTGCCTGGAAATTCAGTATCAGGATGCACATGAAGCCACTGGATGGACTGAGAGTCTTCAAGACTGTGATGATCCTCTGTTCAGTTAACAATGATTTTTATAAATGCAGCATCAAGAAGAGATACTTGATAGCTGAATGCTCACGACAGAAATGGAGCATCAGCACTTGAGTTAAATGAAAGTGAGAGGAAGAAATGAGAAGAAGAAATCAAGGCACAAGTATGATTGTTCACATTTGATTCTGAGGAAGTCACTGCTGGGAATGCTGCCACCTGCTAATGAAGAACCCTCTTATGCCAAGATTCAGACTGGAAGGAAAAATTGATTGCTTAAGTTTGATCAGGATGTCGTGAGCAGACCATTGGTGTTCCAAAAAGCAATGGCAATCTTTTTTGTGCCTGTCTGATGCACTGCCCAAGCACTTCTAGGGAGAGACAGTAAAGGGAGACCATCCATCAGCATCACTTAATCTAAACCAGTGTTAATTTTGTGGCTGTATTTAAACCGCTTGGGATGTGATACTAAAACCACCTCTGCTATAAAACTAAGCACACTTGGGTGTGCCTCAGGGATGGGAATGCTGGTATGGGAGCCACTTAGGCCAAGTTCATATGTGGGAATCTCAGCTGAGCCTGATTCAAACTCTAAATACTGTCTGAGACACTTCTGTGAGAACTGAGAGTAATCTGAACTGCTGTGCCAATATTAATAAATTAAACTGTGAATGTCCTGTGCTTGTAAATTGCTTTCAGCATGGGCCCTGAAGCTGTAAACTGTGCTTAAATATGAAGAAGACAGTGAGAGAGATCTGTGTTCCAAGCTCAGGGAAATCCAGCTGATAGCCCAGCCTTTTGCAGGAATGCCACCAGGATTTGTTAAAATGATCTGTTCAGTGAATGGTCTTCTGGCAATATTAGGTGACTTTCTGTACAGGCACTGGAATCTCCAAGAAAAGTGAAGTTCCTGGGTCAGGTTTGCTCTCATTTAAGCAAGTGCAATGAAGACAGTGACTCCCCTTGTTACCCTGGAGTCTCACTGATGAGAGAACCAGCTCCATCAGCTCCCCTTCACCAGAGCACACACCAGCCCCTCGGGCCGTGCATCGTGCGGTCACAGTGTCATCGACTGCAAGTTCCTGCTTTTAACTGGGTTAAACACCCATTTGTAGATGGTGTGAACCAGCAGCAGAGGGAGCCCAGTGATCGAGGGGTGGAGTTAATGGAACTAATTAACACTAAGATACTCTCATCAGTCTGATCGTTGGCCTTTATTGGGTATTTATCTGTCTCCTGGTTTCTTTTCAAGGCAGGTGTTTAAGTTATGGTTTATGCACACCAGTGCACATGTGTGATATTGGATCTAATTAGAAAAAAAAATACTAAATGATGCCAAAACTAATCCATAGCTGTCACTCAGATACTTGATTTACTGTGTTGCTAATTCTGCCTTTCTTGCTCCTGTGAGTAGGGCTGACCTTAGGACTTCAGTGGGCTCAGGCACTGATGGATTTCAGCGAGATCTTTTTGCTCAAGGTGAATCAGGGGGCACTTAATAATCCAGAATATCTGCAAGAGCTCATGAGGCTCCTCTCACAGAGCTGCTCTGATGGGTAGAGTGATACAACCAGTCTGAACTGATGCTGCAGCGAGAGAACTGTGGCCTGAAGGAATCCTTTAAGAACTGCTTGACTATGGAAAATGATGGTCCCTCTCCAAGAGAATTTTGTGGCCTTAAGGTAAGTTTCATCACAGCTGAATCAGCAAGGAGCTCACTGTAATATAAATGTTAATTCTTTTAAGTGGGGCATTGGTAAATTGCTCAAGTTAGGAAATACATTGCAAGGAATTTTATGTGCGAGTGTTAAAGCAAGGGTTTTAAAAAACTCAAAAGAAGAAAGGACTTTAGCAATAGAAGTAATTAATTATATTTAACTTGAACAAGAGGAAGCAAGGTGAGTTGTTGGACTAAATTGTTCTAAGTACTGTATTTAAATAGCCCAATATAAACTGATTACTTATGTTATCACTGTAGCATGGATGACAAATAAGTCTGGTTATTTTTTTATGGCCACACTGGAAAGTGATTTTTAAAATGTTTTAGTCTGAGAAGAGTTGTGTTCAATATTACCTTTAGGTCAATATAGGTCAATAAGACCTTTAGGCTTCTATGCACTGAGCTACAAAAGAAACTATTTGCAAGCACAGCTGGACAGAAATGACCACATCTGCTCAAGTGTGGCCTCGTGCTAGTGCAGAAATGTGGAGAAAGATATTGCTGCAATGAAGATGCAGACCTAATTTTCTACTCAAAGAGAAATCTGGGTAAGTAGCTAAAACAAAATTTACTCTAAATTCATAGTGTGTTTGTCTGATAATGGAGATTCTAAAAGGTCTATTGGCGGGACCAGTGGTGATGGTAGGAGCAAAAGCAATGATCTATGCTGGTGGTTTGGAGAATGCAATGCTTTTAGGAGAAATGCTAAATATGTATTTTATCTTGAACAGCAAGAGCAATCTCAGTGAAGACATCTTTGCAGCAAATCAAGTTTTCAACTGTTTTAGTGCTCATAAAAAAAAAAAAGAATTCCAGCTCTAGCCTTTTCCCTTGTTAAAATATGATTTCTGAGCTGGACTGGTACTAAACCAAAACAAACTGCATGCTGGGGCTGAAAGGAAGATGGTGGAGGCTTAGGATAAATTCAGGGTCCTTCCTTACAGTGTGAACAGTCTGTAACCTGCAGATTAACCAGGGCTGGGATCAGTGTAGGGTAGGAAAATCAAAAGGCCAGAAAACTGTGAGAGAGGCTGCTGAAGTTAGGAACACCACAGGGTTTACTTAGGGGAAGCTGGTGTTTAGGGAGGACATTCCATCAGTGGCTGAAATGGAAATGATTTTTTGGAGCCAAGGTTGGATGCCAGTGACTTTGAAACTGTGGATTAAAAAAGCAAGATGTTAATACTGTTTATAATTCCTTATTATTGATCTTTATGACTCTTGGAAGTGGTTTATTAGCATTAACACTATCATTAAGTACCTGTTAAGAGTATGCCTATGGAAGCATAATCCTGATTTTGCTGAATTAAATGTAAAAACTTCCTCTAAACTTGATGGTAACATGACCAAGACCTACAGAAAGAAGCCATCTGCAACAAAACACACAATTTTGGAAACTGCTGTTGGATTATTTTATATATCCACATGGGGATTATTTAATTTCAGAGACCCCTTAGATGCATCAGTTTGCAGATTCGAAAGGGCGATATTTTCATATTCCTCCTGTGATGCTGAGCATCTGCAGTGGTGAGCTAATACTATCAAATCCTTCTGAAAGTTCCTGTTCAGAAACCCATAGAAGATGGGGTTGATACACGTTGAGATCATGGCCACGAGGTGGCAGATGGTAAATGCCAGGTTGTGATTGCAGCTCATTAGCGCCTCGTAGTTCCAGTCAAAAACCACGTTGAATATATTGAGAGGCAACCAGCAAGCTGCAAAAGTCACAACAATTGATACCAGCATCATATTAATCCTTTTGCTTTCACTCAGCCTGCTCTCGTTCTCCCTCATCCTGTCTATTTTTAAGCGTCTCCTTCGAAGACACACAAATATCCTGAGGTAGCAGATAAAAATAAACCCCAGTGGGAAGCAGTACTGGAAAACCAGCAGGCTGGTGGTGAAAATCAGCCTCTCTGTAAGAGATGGCCATGCTTCGATGCAAGCAACCTTGTTCTTGTAGAAATCACTGTAGAAAGACAGGTGTTTGAAGGGCTCATCTGTTAATTGGTGAAATATTAAAAAAGGAAGGGATATGACGAGGGAAAGAGCCCAGATGAAAAGAATCCCCCAGTAGGCATGTGAAATATTAGGCTTCCAGCCACGTGGGTTCACAATTAACTGATACCTCTCCACAGCAATGAGTACAAGTGAGAAAATGGAGACTGAGACAGATAAACTTTGTGTGAAAGAACCCATTTTACACATTGCTTCCCCAAATATCCAGTGGTCCATTAAGGTGTATGCAACTGTGACAGGAATACACATGATACAGATCAAGACATCTGATAAAGAGAGGTTGGCAATCAAAATGTTGGTAACATTTTGAGCTTCTTTCCGTCTCTTTATTATAATAATCAAGCAAAGATTTCCAAAGAGCCCCACCAGTAAAACTAACGTGTAAGCTGTAATAAGCAAGAACTCTGCAAGGAAGGAAAGCTGGCATGTGTCAAAGTTCAAAAACTGAGAAAAGCTAAAGTTAGAGACAGTTTGATTGGACAGGATCTCACTGGGGTGCTGAATGGCTTTATCCATCGTGAGGCATCTCCCAACCTATGGACAAAACCTTGTGTTATTTAGAATATACTTGGTATGGAGCTTTTCAAAGTTGTGAGTGCTGTGGGTCTGTCATTGCAGTTGGTGTCCTTAAGGTTTTGAGCAAATTTGATTAATTACAGTGCTGGCAAAGTGAGTGGTTATTAGTGGGGTTATGTATATCTACGGATGGAGGTGGGTGTCACCTTTCTGAGGTTCTGCTCTGACACTGAGCTGGGACTGTGGTGTACAAGAAAGAGCAGTGATAGCAGCTCTGGTTAAAATTGTATGGGCATTTTCATACAAATCCTCTTCTACCAACTGTGGATAAAGTTTGATTTTCAGAACGAAATATTTTAAGATCTGTCTCTGCTGAAGATTTAGCAAGGTCAATGAATTCCAAGGAGGATAATTAGTTGCTTTTGTATTATCAGAAAAGAAGAACTGGGTCCTGCCATCACATTGCTAGCTTAGACATCACACTTACATTTTCTTTAGAACTACAAAGCAATGTGAGCTAATACACCAAATCCTCCTGAACTGATCAAAATTATGTATGCTTGAGCTCAAGTGGTATTCAACACCTCTATGAATGATATTTTTAAGGCAGTTTCCTGTTCTGCTGATGCACTGAAGGTAGCATGGCCTTTTTCCTCAATCTAACTCGAGAAAAATGTAAACCAAACAGATCAAATTGTAGTTGTACACACAATTGTTTCTCTGTCAGGAGTTACCAAGGGTTGTTTCATTTCCCTATGCGCTGTTCACTGTTGTACAAGTTTGACAAATGATGCCCTTACATTTTTTTGTGGTTAAATGCAACATTTACTCAAGAGACATGGAGTTGATTCTTCTTTCAGCTCCAACTTAAACAGGTGTCAAGCAAAAAATCTGATATTAGCACAGTTCTTTTGTTATAAAATTAATATTATTGAGAAGAATTAAGTTCAGCAGAATATCTTGGTGGGGTTGAATTTATCACCAAGTAAAAAAGTTAATCTTAAATTAAAGGCTCACCAGCTTTCTGGCCAGAAAGAGGTTATTTCAACCTGGGAAAGGAAAAAAGAAGGATGAAAAGAGTTACTTATAAAATAGGTATGTTCTACACATATACCTTTCAAAACTCAACTTTAACTCACCTTAATTCCTTTTTGAAGTTATTGGAAAACTACCTGGAAGGAGATAATTCTTCACCCCTAGTAATAGTGTTGAGAGCCTGTGGAGAAAGAATGAAGAAGCAGTGGGAAGTTAAAGAGGATGCATGAAAAGAAGAAGGGTTAGGTGGATGTTTTCTTGTTATTAGAAATAATTTGCTTATATGTAGAAGATTTGTCAACCTTGTCATAGAAATTATTGCCATTATCTAATCACTAAGGAATAAAAATAAATGTTTTGGTTGTGTGCACAAGATTAAACACCAAATCCAGGGTTAAAATGGGAATGATTCTGTAGCTGTTTGCCCCCAGACACTCAAAGAATATTCCAGCCAGAGTGATATCCTGGACTGCTTTATCCTGATACTTCTGCTTGACATAAGTTTGGATGCTTCAAATTAAGATTCTAAAAAAACCCAAACCCAAACAAAAGACAATACAACCACCTTTCAACCAGCATACTCCTGTTGGAGTGGGAAGTGGCTGTAGATTTATGTGACTCTACGTGGCCCTGATGTTCCAAATATGACTTAATTTGTGGTCAGGGCTGGCATTAAGCCCTGCAGTCTCCCTAAATAATGCACCTGGCTTGGTTACAGCTATATTGAGGGAATGGCATGGAAACCTGCACAATCATTCTGCAAAAGCCATTCAAGTCTGGTGGCTCAGATAGATTTTGTAGTCCCTTGCAGGTGTCCCTGCTCCAGCAGGGCAAGAACAAGAGCTGGGTACCCCACTGTGTGTGCTCCAGCCTCCAAAAACTCTTCTCCTAATGAGTCCAGGAGCAGGGACAGGGACTGTGGATCGAGCACGGTCACACCCAGTGGCTGGGCAGCAGCACCTCTTTCCTGGAATGCACTGCAAACCACTTTTCCCTGGAGCAGCACTAATTGCCTGGCTGGATTTGTCCCACTGAGGGATGAACGTGCTGAGAGAGCAAGAGGCAGTAAATGGTACATTTACCACCAACAGTGGCAGGTGTTGCCCCGATGAGCTTTGCTGCCACTGGAGAAGTGTGAGGCTCCAAAGTCTGGCTGCTTTGCCCCCAGGGTGATCCTTCTCTTTGCACTGCCTGTGGTGGTCACCTGGATCTGAGCCCTGGCCCTTGAGAAGAGCTCAGGTGTCAGCAGGGGAGCTGGCCTGGGAGCAGATCCCTTCAGAGACAACCTCTGCTCTTCCCTGCTTTTTATGTGAGCAGGAGAAGCTGTGGGGGCTCAAAGGCCATGAGGCTGAGCCAAGTTCGTCATATTTTATGCACTATTTGCTAAGCTTGGTTATTTATCCATGGTTGCACCACACAGTTTGATAGCAAGTGCTGAATGTCCTCTCCCAAGAATTCAGGGTGGCTGGTAGGGCTTCCTTGGCATTTGGGAAAAGTCTCTGTACTGACCTGATCAGTTCACTCACTACATCAGTTTTAAGCACACTCTCCATCTGCACTGTCCTTTTCTCAGGAAAAAGTGTAATTACTTTTCACTGTTTGGTTTGTCCTGGGAGTTAAAAAGTGCAGTACCTGCCATTCTGCAAGGCAATTGAAACATTTCCTTGGCAATAAAACCATTACACCTGTCTTGTTAAACAACTGGAGTATTCACAGCATTTAAAAAAAAGTTACTCTAATACTTACTGAATGGTGAACTATATTTTAATAAATACTGGCATTTTTAAAGCTAAAAAATGTTAGTGGAGTCAGTGTCCTTGAACCACAGCTACAGCTGATATCAGAATTGAAGCATTTAATGGAAAGAACTAATTACTTCAACCTCTAATTCATGCATTTTAAAAAAGATTCTCTACCACAGTGAGAGTTTAACACTATAAGCTGTTAGAGACCCCTCAGCCTAGTTGTTTCATTCCTCTGTCTGCAAAAACATCACTGAAACGTTCCTAAGCAAAAGAAAGGTCTAAAATAAAATGAGTTTTAAAAAGGCTTTCTTTCCTAAGTATTTGCTTACCTGTGATAAAGATGAATAGTCCCATCCCTTCAAGGTGACCAGTAAATATTTCAATTACAAACATTGTTAATTAAGTTCCAAAGTATTGCACAGACAACATGTGGAGGAGATTTCCCATTCAATTTTAAATATAGGAGGTCCAAAAGAAAATAATGTTTTAAAAGATACATTTCAGTAACTTTTGCCAGAGTTTTACAGATTTTCTGACTTCTTACCTGCTGAAAAATTCAAGTCATATCCACACTGCCTTTAACAATTTTCCTCTTCCCTTTTTGTGCTTACAGAGCCAGCAAAAACATCTTCTTTGTGTACCACAGAATCCGGAGCAAAGCCATCTGCTGCTAAAGCAATACTTAAACTCTCCCTTCTTCTCTCCCTGAAACAAACCACAGATCCACAATTTCCAAGTGTGCTGAATCCACCGGGCTGCAGGAAGGCTGCTGAGGAATAAAACAAGCTCTGGAATCCAAGAAGAGGCGAACAGCAGTGAGCAGGGAGGAGGAAGGACCAGTAGTCATGGGGATGGATTTTCCTCCACTGTGCAGTTTCCCTCCACCTTGTCAAACACCTTATCTTGCAATTTCGTTCTCAATTATTTAATCTGTTCTGTAGTACAAATGTTTTCCCTACGTTGGATTTCATATATAAATATCTGCAGATGGCATATTGCTTTCTGAACTGATATGACTGTACATTTACCTGCTTGGAAAGAACATGCACACCCTATTAAGTGTATCATTGGCCTAATTGCAATTAAGATAATGAGATTTTCACTATAAATTGATATTTTAGCTTATACTCCACAGATATAAAAATATTCCTGAAAAGCAAAGCATGGCACATTGCATTAGCACATGGTGAAAAGGGGCATTATTTTTATTATTGTTTTTTTCAGTAAAAATTCATATATTTTGCAGTCACTTATTTACAAATATTAGTATTCAATTCAGTGTTTCCCTACTAAATATTAGAGTGGACATTTATGGGATAGGAAAGGAACTGTTTTTCTTAGGATGTGGTAAGTTGCTGTATAAACTCTTGAATTAGTACCTGGGTCCACTTAAGCTCTAATATCTCAGTCTGTTCTTTTTTGAGAGAGAATGATTTTTGAATGGCAGTGGCAGGATTGTTGGGATGAGCAATACTGATTAAACTGCAGTTTAGAACTAGTTATCTGGAAATATTGTTGGTTGTCATGCTACTGTATTTGCAGAAACTAGGGGTGGGGTGGAGGGAGCCTCTGTCATCCCCAGACAAACCTCCTGCTTCTCATATATTTCTGTCTATCCATGATGTGTTTGTCCAGCCTGTTTTTTAACCATCTGTGGTAATCCTACATGTGGTAAGCCTAATTTACTGTTAGGAAGACTCCTTAACACCTCCCCCTAAAACTTCCTTCTCTTTAGTTTAGCCCATTGCTTTTTATTCTAGGTGTGATCTGGCAAATCTGACATTTTAACCAAAAATGCTACAATCAAGCAATGTGAATATACTTTCCTAAAGCATTTGTAGAACTTGCTGGTTTTGGTTATGTCAAAAATACTACAAAAACAAAGCTTTGCCAAAGTACTTCAGAAATTCTGCTTCTGGTTGTACCATAACCCAAGGAAGTGAATCAGGACTTGAACATGCAGCGTGCCAGACAGGCGTCAGAACAAGCCATAAAAATGCATTATGTGTTTATAAAGGGAATAAGTCAACAAAATTAAAAGATGTTCTGATTCTATTTAAAAATTTCAAAGGTCAATTTGCTTATTGACATACGCCTCTGTTTCTAATATAACTCTGTGCAGCCCTTCTTCTGGAGTGTTTGAAGTGGGATCCCTCGGTTTTACGGTCACACCAACCTGCTGCCTCGTGTGGATTTAATTGTGCTGTAACCTGTTGGGAGTTAGATCACATCCAGCATCAGAGGCCTGTGGGTGTAGCTGCTCCTGGTGTGTTCAAGCCCGATGTCAAAGGTGTGTACGCTGAGTGGGACCTATGGCTGTGCAGGAGGGATCGTGGTACATTGTTTTCAGGCAAATGCTGGAGTGTCTGTTTGCAAAACAGGTTAATGGATACCAGAATTGTGTTTGCTTTTTAGCAATGATCATGTTGTTTCTAAAGTGCTCAGTATTAAGTGATGGGTGAAGCACCATAATAGACAGTTTTTGAAAGTCTAAGTTTGTCGTAACTTCTGTTGCACTGACAACAATGCGTTGGTGAAAAATTCTCTAGCATGTCAGTCCTTCGAGTTCTCCTTTTGCTTTGGCATTTACATGATTCCTTGCCCAGCAGGAATCTTGGCTGGTGGTTGATCACTCTAAACTTTTGCTGTTGCTTAGTTGCTTCTCTCATGTAGCTGTGCAAAAGTGCTTGTTCCTGGTGCAGCCCCTTCTTCAGAAAGCAGGATTTAGTATAGATGTGGAATTTCTCAGCTTCCCAGGTGAAAGAGTTCTTTAACAGCAGATCAGCCAAGAGCTGGTTCAGTGACCTGTGACATCTCTGAAGGGTCATGGAATCACAGAGTGTTAAGGGTTTGATCCCTTAAAGATCACCCAGTTCCACCCCCTGCCATGGGCAGGGACACCTTCCACTAGCCCAGGTTGCTCCAAGCCCCATCCAAGCTGGCCTTGGACACTTCCAGGGATCCAGGGGCAGCCACAGCTTCTCTGGGCAACCTGTGCCAGGCCCTCCCCACCCTCACAGGGAAGAATTCCTTCCCAATATCCCATCTAACCCTTCCCTCTGTCAGTGTGAAGCCATTCCCTCTTGTCCTGTCCCTTCAGGCCCTTGTCCAAAGTCCCTCTCCAGCTCTCCTGGAGCTTCTTTAGGCAGTGGAAGGGGCTCCAAGGTCTCCCCAGAGCCTTCTCTTCTCCAGGCTGAACACCCCCAGCTCTCCCAGCCTGGCTCCGTAGTAGAGCTACTTGGAGCATCCAGCTTTTGGAGCATCTTCATGGCCTCATCTGGACTCGGTCCAACAGGTCCACATAGTTCTTACCTTGGGAGCTCCAGAGCTGGAGGCAGCACTGCAGGAGGGGGTCTCAGAGGGGCAGAATCCCCTCCCTCACTGCTGCCTTTGCTGCAGCCCGGGACACGTTTGCCTCTCTGGGCTGCAAACACACATTCCCAGCTCGTGTTGAGCTTCTTGTCAACCAACACCCCCAAGTCTTTCTCCTGGAATATTCCCTCCTAATGAGCACTGTTCTTTATAGCACTTCAAAGAGGCCCAGAAAAATAAACAAGAATAATTGGAAATCTCCTGTGTTAGTGTCGGATGTGCCGGTTAATGCCAGGAAAGTAAGATAATGTGCTCTGATGGAGGAAAAACACAGTCCCTGCACATTTCCCTGTTTTGTGGAGAGATCAACACCCTGCTAAGGGATCTTCAGTAAATAGCTTCTAATGTGACCAAACTAGCAACACCTGAATATCAGCTAAGTATGCACTGTAATTTTTTCCCAATGTTGTGTATGTGTAAGTTTGAGCACTGCTCCATGATTCAGAATTTTTTTCCTAATTGGAAAAAAATTATCACAAAAATCACTCGTGTTCACTACCTGGAGTTTAGGTTTCACTCCATTATACTGCATAGCTCTAGAGGACTGCTTTGCCACATTCTCATTCTGATTCTTAATTCTGATTCTCAATTAGCTCATGCCTAGAATGAAAAGTCAACTGTTTGAAAATCTGATTTAACTATAAATGAGTTATTTATAATGGCATATTCATTTTTAAAGTTATGTCATGCCATGAACTGTTGCCATTTATTCAGTTGGCACAGAGATGGAGATGGATATACTCCCTGGCTGGAAGGTTAGCATCTTGATTTTTTGGGTCAGCCAAGTCACTGTTCTCACTGAAAAACAGATAAGATATGTGAGTAATTGTAATAGGAGTGTGACTGTGTTAACTCATATTTCATAATAGATTCCACTTTCCAAACCCTGTCTCAATTCTTTGTAGCTTTCTAGAACTTCTCCAGCTGATTTTTACCCAAAGTGATCTCTGCCAAAAAATGAATTATTTCAATAGCTCACAGACTTGGGAGGAATATGATAAAATGTATCTCTGGTGTGTTTTTTCCCCATTCTACAGTCTTTTTATAACAACACTGTGAGCACCAAACCCTGCTGTTCTCATGCCATGATATTTTTCAGTGTCCTAATTGTTAATTAAGAAATACTTATATAATCAAAAGGTTTTTCCTGTTAATCTGTTTCAATTTTCCAGCATGTTTCAAACTGTAATAGCAGTTTTGATTTTCTGAACTCGAAATATGAATTCTAGATTGCTATTTTGTGTCTAGGAAGGCTCACTTCCCACCACCTCATTTTAAAATTCCTTGAATAGCACGGATGTCTTACAGCTAATTCCAGGCAGGTACTTACTGAGCTTCATGGCACAACTCTGCCTGCTGTGTTCAAACAAAGCTAAATGTCAGTCATGCAAAAGCTCCACAAAACCACCCTACAGAGGTTCTGTGGAATGAGAAATAGATGGAGTCTAGGAATAGCTAAGGGAAAAAAATAAAAAGCAAGTAGATTTTAATTCAACTGGAAAATACATAATGAAAGATTTGCAGATGAGGAAGATCAGAGCGTGGCCGAGATTGCTGCTGGCTCCAGGTCTTCCCTTGGCAAAAGTTATGTTCCTGGACTAAGATACAGTGAAAGATCTCCCCTCTCACATCTGTCACAGCATTGCTACGTTCTTTGATCCTTCACAAGAACCTTGACTTTTCAGACCGTATTTTGCTGCCTTACTTTCATCCTATCACTTCAAATTATGACCAGCTTTTATATAAAATTTTAGGAAAGAGAAGAAAGGAAATCAAGCATTATTACAGAAGAGTGAAAAGATGAAAGAGGGAAAGAGAAATTGAACTTCAGAGGCAAGAGGAGGGAGGGCAGGATTTAAGGAAAAATGGTAATGTAAGTCCAAAGAAAAGGATGCAAATTCAATTCTCCGGTGACTTCCCACTTCACCCTTCACAAAGCTGTGTTTCTCTCTTCAGCAAACTCCCCTTACAAAGAGCTCAGGGAAGATTTTGTTCAGTAGATAAACTTTGATACCACTTACTGAAGAAATAGTTCCTGTGGGTTATTCTGTAGTTACCTTTTTATCTGTAAATATCTTATTTTGCATTGAGCAGATACAAGAGAGGGGGGTGTTTTATTCCCCATCAGAATTCACACAGGGCAGATATTTTTATCCTGAGGAGTGTCGTGTTCAAACTTTAGGGAGACAAAGGACTATCCAGTTCCCTCTCAGTGCTTTTTAATCAATCTTTTTCAACAAAAACCCCTCTCCCAACCAGTGCTAATTCATTAGTCTCCAAAGTAAGATCACAGGTTTGATGTTCATGCAGATTAAAGTAAAAACAGCTGAACAGAGTGAAAGATAAACCTTTGATAAAAAGGCAAGAGCTCTCTCAAAAACAGCTGTAGATCTTCCACAAGTTTTCACACCTGTAGCTAAACCAAGGTGCCAGGATGGGGAAGCTTGTGGTGCTGCTGGATGTTTTACCCAAAATGTCTTCTTATGACCTGCACTCTCTGCCTGAGGTATTGGTTTGGCTAAGAGTGGGGCTTCTAAAAGTCTAATAATATCTTAGAAATGATGAGATTAAAAACCCTTGCCTGAATGTGTGCAGATCTCAGGGTGATGTGGGAAATTATCATTGAATCTCCCACATTCCCAGCTGTTTCCACCTGTGCACAGTTAGAAAAACCTGGGTGAAATGTGTGCATAGCTAAGATGGTGTTGTTATAGCCAACGCAGAACTAATTCAGCAAACTGTCTGCAAGAAGGATTCCTGTGGGCTTCAAAATACTTTCTGTCTACTGAAAGGTAAAACCAGACCTAAGTCTAGAGGACTGCACTATAGTAAAAAACATACTTTAACTCATTAAAAATCCAAGTGATATACTTAAATTGTTCTATATCAGCATGGTTGGCTTCCAGAGTCAACAGGTGTTGATTCATTTTTTTTTAAACAAAGATGTTGAAACAAGTTAAAAGAATATGATTTTGTGTTTATATGAAGGTTTAGATAAAATATTTATAAGAACTAGTTTTGACTAATGTTCTTCTGTTGCCCCTCATGCTCTTTTCCAAAACTTCATTGTTCCTTTTCTGTCTTGGCAGTTTGAACTCATTAAGGAGCATGACAAGAGGATGTTTCTTTACTGACATAAAATTGATATAAACAATTCCTTAATAACTTATTTTGTATCATCTTTTACTAAGAATATAGAGTAGCATAGGAAGCCTAGTGCTGGAAAGGGACTGTTCAGATGTCTTTTTTATGATCTCTTAAGCAGTGATGCCCTCCTGTGGACTCTAGACAGTATGATTTCTACTGGAATAACTGGAAAGTTGTAGGCATGAAAATGATGTGGTTTCTTTCTAACACTCAAATTAAGGACACTCTAACTAAAATATCCTATGATGACATTTAACATAGGGCATTATTTGGCCAGTGCTTCTGGTTTGAGAAATACATTTCCTTTAGGTGGATGACACGGGTGGAGCTTTTATCTGAAAAAGTGCCTAAATTTAGAAACTTCAGGTGCTTATACAGTGATTTTTATTTATTCTATAGGTTGCTATCAGAGTTGAAACAATGTTTTGCTGCAACTGCCCTGTCAGAAGGGGAAAAGCACATATTTCTTTTGCATGGTGCTTTCCTAGGAATTTTTAAGCACATAGGAGAGGGTTATGCATTTACTCATTTACAGTTAGAAACAGTTCAAAGGTATGGTGGAAAAGGGCATTTCAGGAGCAGGGAAAGCCACCTAGTTCATAGGAATGTGTATAATAAGTGCCTGGCTGCACAGATCAGGTGACTGGATGCCTCACCAGGCATGAATCCAACAGGAATTGCAGAGGTCCAGCTGGAATCTCCACAGCAGCTCAGATGACCTGGGAAGTATGAAAGTCTGGGAGACTCAGAAGAAACTGATGCTCAGCTGTCTAGGAAACCTGCATCCCCAGGGCACAGGACACCAGGTCAAGTGGAGTTTGGCCTTTCTGTAGTATCAGAGGAGACATTTTCACCTGCAAGTGATGGGAATGTTTGTCTGAAAGCCATTTTCCTTTCATTAATCAACCAAGTCAGAAGTGCAAACAAAGAGGAAGAATTTGGGCTACACTTGAGTTGTGTCAGTGACTTATTTTTCCTACTGATTTACTCACATCTTAAAGACCCTCATGTCCTCCTCCTGATGCAAGCAGTGACTCCTTTCTTTGATCTCTTCCTTGGCCTACTTGTCTGTCTTGTTCTCAGGCAGAGAAAGTGAGGTGCAAACAAGCCTTCTCTGTCTTTGTTATCCATTGAGGCCACGAGAAGCTCCTCTGAAATTTTCTTCCTTTTTGCTGTAAATTATTATGGGTCTATAAAAATCTCATAGATTTTCTACATGAAACATATTAATTTTTCTGGCAAAGGGCCACACAGTTTTTACAATAACTAGTAGGCAAAATATAGTTTTGTGTTTCCTGTAATTGTGTGGAGCTTGCAGACAGCCTCTGGGAAGAAGCTTTTTATTTAATAGAGTAGGATATATTTGTTTATTTTTAAACCACAAACACTTCAGTGACACTATGAGCACATTCTCTTTTCTACCAGATAAAATGATTGTGTCTGTTCATGCATTGAGATAAATGGATTTAAACATGTTGACATCACGTTCAGCCTCTCTGGACTTCCTCTGGGGCTGTGGTTAACCAACCTTCCAGCACAGTCAGTGTTACACTTGTGTCTGCCAGTCTCCAAGGAAGCATTTCCAATTCATCTCTATCGGGGAATGTTGCAGTTCTGCTTCCTTCCTCCTGCCAGCACCAGCAGATCATGCAAAAAAAAAAACTGTTTCAGAAAGCTGAGGCAGCTGAAAACTAAGTTCTTTTTAGTGATAAAATTATTTTTGGCTGTCTCAGTTCTCTTAAGTGCATTGCTGTGTGTATGCACAAGCATCAAGGCTGGCACACGGGAAGAGGCAGGATTCCAGGGCTGGAGCAAATCAATCCCAGAGCATATCAGCTCAGACAACTGTGGAATTACATCCTGACACGGTGCCCAGTGCAAAACTGTAACGCTGGGTGAATTGAACCACACTGTGAACTGACCTTCAAGGAAAGAACATTTCACCGCAAAAGCCATTCTTAGCTCCTGGGTAATTTTTAACATAAACCCCAGTGGCTGTAAGACAAAAAAAAAAAAATCCTGTATCTGGTGAAAAATTCACTAAATTTGAAAGTAGTGCTGCAGTCTTCATGCTGGCAATGTTTAAGGTACTATTAAAGTTAAAAAAAAAAAAAGAAAAAAAGGAAAAGGAAATTGATCTAGCTATTAGTCATTTCATAGGGCTCACATACCCCCTTGAACTCTAGTTATTTCTCTGAGAAAATACCTCCTTTTCAGAGATTTAAGGATGAGGAGGCAGTGATAGAATTGGAAAGAGGATTGGGAAACGGGGGAGGAAACAGGAGCTGGAAAAGTGAGAAAGAATCACAGAGTCGTTTGGGTTGGAAAAGCCCTCCGAGCTCATCGAGTCCAGCTGTTCCCCCAGCGCTGCCAAGGCCACCCCTAACCCATGTCCCGAGGTGCCACATCCACACCTCTGTTAAATCCTCCCAGGGACGGTGACTCCACCACTGTCCGGGGCAGCTGGGCCAGGGCTGGACAGTCTTTTCTGTGAAGAATTTTTTCCTGATATCCAATCTCGCTCTCCCCTGGCACAGCCTGAGGCTGCTCCCTCTCATCCTGTCCCTTGTTCCCTGGGAGTAGAGCCCGACCCCCCCCGGCTCCCCCCTCCTGTCAGGGGTTTGCAGAGCCAGAAGGTCCCCCCTGAGCCTCCTTTTCTCCAGGCTGAGCCCCCCCAGCTCCCTCAGCCCCTCCTGCTGCTCCAGCCCCTTCCCAGCTCCGTTCCCTTCCCGGGACACGCTCCGACCCCTCAATGTCCTTCTGAGAAAACAGACCGGGCAGTTGGGGGTGTGTTGAAAAGGGATGGATGGACACAAAGGGGGGAAGAGCCATCGCTAAGAGGGAGAAACGGGAAGCGGACGGACCGGAGCGGTTCAACCCCAGAGTGAGGAATGCGCTGTTCGCGATGCCCTGAGAGGGAGGCGAGGGACACACAGACAGCAGAGCCCGGTGGGGCTGTGCCGGCGGGTCCGGGAGTCTCGCTGTCCAAAGGGGGGTCTTAGGAGGAGGGACCAGGCTCTGCTCGGGGGTGCCGAGGAATGGGACGCGAGACAACGGGCAGAAACTGATGCACGGAAAGGGCCACCTGAACATGAGGCAGAACCTTCCTGTGCAGCGACCGCGCACAGACTGCCCAGAGAGGGTATGGGATCTCCCCAGAACCACGAGGACGCCGTGCTGCGCGATGCGCTCTGGGGCGACCCCGGCGGTGCCCGCCCCCCTGTCCCGCCCGGGGCTCCGTGAGGGGCCGGGCGGGTCCCCCCTCAGGGCTCCCAACGGTCCCCGCGTTCAAACGCTCCCGCGCGACCCCCCGCGCGCCGCGGGGCGGGGCCTCCCGCGGAGGGAGCGCGCGCCGTCCCGCAGCGCTCGCCCCGATTGGCCGCGGGCCCGGCGCATCGCCCCGCTCCTCCCCTCGGCGCGCGCCGAGCGCGTCCCGCGCCCCCCATTGGCCGCCCGCCCCGTCCTTCAACCGGCGCACCCCCTGGAGCCGTGGCGGGGGTCGCGCCCTCTGATTGGCCGCCGCGCGCGTCCGTCGCGCCCACCGCTCCGCCCCCTTAAAGCTGAGTGGCTGGCGGCGCTGGCGGCGCGCCCCCATTGGCCGCGGCGGAGCACGGGGCGTGCGCGAGGGGCGGGGCTCCCGGCGGCCCCTTTGTGTGGGCACCAGTCGCCGGCCGCGCTCCCGAGAAGCCGCCGCCGCCATTTTGTGCGCGCCCTGTGCTCGCCCCCACCCCCGCCCGCCTTTCCGCGGGAGCGGCGGCACCGGGGAGGCCCCGACTGCGCTGCCGGGCCGCTGAGGCGGGAGCGGAGGCGCCGCGCCGCGCCCACGGACCCACCGCCGGCGGCCGCCGCAGCCCTGAGGTCGCGCTGCTCGCGGCGGGGGGAAGAGGCGGCAAGACGGAGCAAGGGGGGAAAAAACCTCCGGAGCTGCTGCCCCCGAACAGGAGGAGGAGTCTCGGGGCCAGGCCCAGGCGCGGCGGCGGCGGCGGCGGCAGCAGCGGCGGCAGCATGGAGAACTCGCAGCTGTGCAAGCTGTTCATCGGCGGGCTGAACGTGCAGACCACGGAGGCCGGGCTGCGGGAGCACTTCGCGGCCTACGGCACCCTCACCGACTGCGTGGTCGTGCTCAACCCGCAGACCAAGCGCTCCCGCTGCTTCGGCTTCGTCACCTACTCGGCGGTGGAGGAGGCGGACGCCGCCATGGCCGCGTCCCCCCACGCGGTGGACGGGAACGCGGTGGAGCTGAAGCGGGCCGTGTCCCGGGAGGACTCGGCCAAGCCCGGCGCGCACGCCAAGGTGAAGAAGCTCTTCGTGGGCGGCCTCAAGGGGGACGTGGGTGAAGGGGACCTGGTGCAGCACTTCAGCCAGTTCGGCCCCGTGGAGAAGGCCGAGATCATCGCCGACAAGCAGAGCGGGAAAAAGCGCGGCTTCGGCTTCGTCTACTTCCAGAACCACGACGCCGCCGACAAGGCGGCCGTGGTCAAGTTCCACCCGATCCAGGGCCACCGCGTGGAGGTCAAGAAGGCCGTGCCCAAGGAGGACATCCAGGCGGGCGGGGGCGGCGGCGGCTCCTCCAGGCCCTCGCGGGGAGGCAGAGGAGGAGGAGGAAGGGGTCGGGGCGGCGGCGGCTCCGGCAACCGGGATCACAACGGGCTCTCCAAAGGGGGCGGCGGTTACAACAGCTACGGCGGCTACGGCGGGGGCGGAGGCGGCGGGTACGGCTCCTACGGCGGCGGGTCCTACGGAGGCGGCGGCGGAGGGGGCGGCGGCGACTACGGCAACGGGTACGGCGGGTTCGGCAGCTACAGCCAGCACCAGTCCTCCTACGGCCCCATGAAGAGCGGCGGAGGAGGTGGAGGAGGGGGCGGCAACTGGGGGGGCCGCAGTAACAGTGGACCGTACAGAGGAGGTTACGGTGGGGGAGGCTACGGGGGCGGCTCGTTCTGAGCTTGGAGTGCCCATACCCATTGAGGAGGGGGGCGTGGAGAGCCCTCCCTTCGATACGGGGCAGCTTCTCAATGGTTTCTCCCCTCACCCGCCGAAGGGCAGCTCCTTTTAAATGCCTCCCTGCTGTGGGAGCGGCTCCTAAATGCCCCCTGAGGGTCGCCTCTGCTGCCTGTGCCACTTCGTTCTCTCTGAAGATGGACTGGGCCCCACATACACATACTTTGTGTTACAGTCATTGATGGACTCTATTTTTTTATTATTACTTGGACCTTGGTCGTTTTTATACTAGCAACGAAAAATGTCTTGTTTTAATTTGTTTTTTGGGGGGGTGCGGGGTGGGAAACGTCTTGCTGATCTGGAGTAAAAACTGGGGAGGGATGGGGGGGAATTTCCTTTGTTGTAAGGACTCGATACCTGGCTACTACGTTTTTTTCTACAAAAGCTACTCGGATCCCATGACTGACTTTAACATTTCTGTAAAGGAGGAAAAAAAATGGTTTTTACGTTTTTTATTTTTTAAATAAATCATTGTGTTCATTGACCTTTACACGTCTAATTTTTTTTCCTAGGATCAATTCCGTACGGTTTTCAGGCTTTTCTAGGTTTGAAGCAAGTGTTCTTCTGCTTTAAAAATCTCTATGTACTTAGAGTAAATATTTTGTTGCCGGTAAAGGTCCTAACTGACTTTTTTGCTAGTGGCTTTCAAACACTTGACAGAGAAATTTTTGAAGTACTAATCCGTGGATGTGGTCTGTTTTTTAAATTCTCGTTCTCACTTAGTTTGTGTGCATCCACCATCTTGTACTACGCAGTTTGACGTGCTGACATGGTTGGTCAATTTTTTTCTATAGGATTTTTCCATCAACGTATGTACTGTGTAGTTTTGAAGAAATAGTTTGTGTTAAGCATGTGCTTCATTCATATAAAATGTTCAGAATTTCCGATTGCTTAGTTTTCAAGTCCTCTTATGGGTTTGTCTGTGTGTGATTCCTTCCAGGAAAGGGTCGACATTTGTCCCTTCTATTTAACACGTACTTGTTTTCATAGTACCGGGTTAACAGACTTTTTCACTCGGAACTATTGTCCTTCCTTAAACTTCCCGGCGAATTCTCGCAGCTCCATCTACTGTCGGGATGGCAGCTCCGTGCTGTGGGCTTCCTTAAAACGGGAGCAAAACTGGTTTGCTAACAATTGTACCAGACTTTTGAACGTTATTTTATGCCACCAGATTGGTGTAGAGTGCAATGACATCTGCACTGTGAATGAAGATGGGCTCTGTGAGTACTGACTGGGAAAAAAAAAAAAAAAAGGAATGGATTTGCAATACCTGCCTCAGCACGTAATTTTTTTAATAATAATTGCAGTTGCCCATATTTCAGAAAGTGGTAATCTAAACTCCATGGGCAAAGTGCTCTGAGAACTGAGCCAGCAAGTGTACCAGCAATATAGGTGCCAGTTGTAAAGCAAAAATATCTGTGTAGTCTGCTTGATTAACAAATGTATATTTGTAGCCCTTTCACGCAATAGAATTAAAGTTTGTTGTTTATTAAAAAGCATAATGTTTTAGGGGAAAACTGCCTTCCTGCATAGAAATATAGAATAGCGACGTTTATGGGTTTATGGATATCAAATAAAAGATTTGAATTCCTTATATGCTTGAGTGAGAGTATATATGATACGGGGCATGGATTTCAAAAGTACAAAGTTGTTTTGACTTCAGGTTTCTAAGCACTTAGTCGTTTATGCTGATGCTTCATGGGACTGCATCGTAAAACCTGCTTTTTGCTTTGCTCCAGATATGCAAGATATTAGGCATATAATTCCCACTGATCCCAGGGGGAAGTTAAGTGTCTAGGGCTTTGTGCTTCTGGGCTGAAGGATTTCGCATGAAATTTCGAGGTACTGTTGCTATTTGATGTCAATCTAACCTGATGCTGATTTTAATTGAAATGAGTCTTTCTGTTGCTGTTAGAAGTGAAACTGCATCAACTTAATCACCCGTGCTTAAATAAACAGGACAACCTTTTGGTATCATCAGGATTTAAACCAAGAGCTGAGTTTCCTTTTGATTGTGGTAATTTATGTCTCTTAGAGCGAGACTGGTTCCTTTGGCTTAGCTTAGTTTTTATAAATAGTTTCCAAATAACTTGCCATTTGCAACTATATTGTAATTTTTCTGTCTCAAAAGCTTGTTAGCCTCTGTTGTGAACCAGCATCACTGATATGTTGTTGTAAATCAAAATAGTTTCAGAGAAGTATTTGTGAAACACTGCAAGTGCCAGCTCTTGTCAGCACACAGCTTCAGGTGGTTTTATTTCAGCTTGAAGTTCTTACTGTACCTTTGCACTTTACAACCATGTTGGACAGTCATCCTTGAACTTCACTTGAAGCACAGCTCTCCTGTTTGTAGCTGAAATGAGCTACTGAGTTCTAGGTCATGTCTCAGTTTTGGGTGTATGATTTAGTCCCTCGCAGTGGTGAGTTGCCTTAACAAGGACCAGCCTGGTTTGGAGAGAAATGGTTAAATTCACTGTTGTGATGTGACTGTTGTCATTTGACTCGGGAAGGTAAAGGTTTGTGCACCAACTACAGCTTTATGGTCTTTTCATATGTTACCTGCCGTGGCAGAATATGTTGATACTAGAAACAAGTAGGTTTTTTAAAAAAAAGTGACTTTGTGTGTGAGATCTGACAGTTTGGGAACCCTTGTACTGAAATGTGCTGTTTGGTTATCTCTGTGCAATAGTCCTTGTAGGACTCATGTCTGCTAGAGTAGAGAGTTGATCCCAGAAATTGCACCTGTACTGGGGAGTGCGCTGCCTTGTCTCCTTGAAAAGATTGTCCCCTCTTTTAACAGTGTTCTGTGGTGTCTCGAGTAAGTGGCATTTGCTCTGCCCTGATCTGTGGTCTCTGGAGCAAGAACTTCTGACACTGCAGGTGATGTTGGAGAGGCTCATGTCAGCACTTGGGATGTACCATGGGATATAGAAGGATGCAAATCTGTATTGGGTAGCATTAAAGACACAGTGACTTAAAGACTACCTTTGAATACAGAGCTGCTTCTAGTACACTTCCTAGTAAATCAGATTTGTTGATAAAGCCTTGCTTATTTATTTAAAGGTATTTAATAATTTTCTGCCCCCTGGGTGGATTTGTCTTCACAGAGGTGTGTGGGAAGAACTGAGATGACATGAGGTGTTATAGCTGGCATGTAAAAGTTTGTGATTTCACAGTTGCTTTAGGATGGTCACGGAGATAGAAATAAAGTAACTTTAGTTTGCTGTCCCTTAGTTTGTAGTTGAGTTCTGAAGTTCCTATGTCTGAAAATATCTCAGTAATTTAATGGCCTTCTGTTCAGAACCGAATACAGGATTGTGCTGGTGTCACCTGTGAGAAATAGAATAGTGAGAGCAACTGGTTTACTTTTAGCATTTAATAAAGTCAAAGTGTAGTAGTTTTCTTAAAACACAGAAGTTCTTTTTATTTTTGTAATCTGCATGACCAAAAAGAAATTCCCCAAACCAAACTTTTCAGACTGTGTTGTGATGTACATGTAGTTTTTTAATAGCAATGGGTGTTCATGTCTACTCTAAAGTATAATTTGTTCTTGATTCTGCTTCTTGTATGACTTGTACGTTTTATTTGGCTAATAAAATTAGCCTAACTCACACTTTTATAATACTGGCTTCTACTACATTAAAAGGAAACATGCTGAAACACCTGTATACATAATGTAATGATACTTGCACAAGTTAATGGAAGTGCCTCCCACGTGTTTGTTTTACAGTAGGTGATGAAAAGGTGGTTTAGAACAGTGGTAAGTGATGGCTGAAACAGCTTCAGTGGCAGCAAATCTCTGTGGGTCACTGACAGCAGTGACAGACTTGCAAAATAAAAGCTGTGTCTTGCCCTGCAGGCTCTGTAGTGTGCTTGGGTGGACAGTCCCTGCCCTCCAGAGCTCAGCAAGCTTTCGGGTTTGTGTTGGGTGTTGCAATAATTGCGAGTGGTGCAGCTGCAGTTCAGGTTCCAGTGCTGGCTCTGGGACTCTCAGCTGCACTCACAGGAGCCCAGACCTGTAGGAGATTGGGATGTGCAGAGCTGGGCACTGACAGGAGGTGCCTGAACTCTGTCAGGTACTTCCTGCACGTGTACTTAACGACCTGTGAAGCAGAAATATTTAAGATGTCTGAAAATGTTAATTCAAAGTTCTCAAATGCTTTATGGTGTGCTTTGCCCCTACCCTCCCTCCAGCTTAGATCCCTTCTAGAAAGCAAATTTTGCTATCATTTAGCATTGAAAGACCTAAGTGGATGGTGTAGATCAGAACACTGGTTTATTATCCTGCCCTGTCAGCTGATACTATTGTCCCAAAATAATGGCATTCCTACTTCTGCTGGAAAGGGTCTGGGCTGGAATGGTGCTGAGGACCCCAACCTCCCATTCAAGTCTGCAAACATAGCAGCTGCTTTTTTCCATGTGCCTCAGAATGTTCATTCTAAAACGCAAAAGCTTGGCTTAAATTGTTAATTAGTGTCTAAGAAATAACCTGAAGGGCACCCCTCTGATGTGCACACAGTGAACAGAACACGGGGTGTGTTGTGAGAACGGGGTTTTGCTCCGACAGTCTGGGAGAGGGTTGGTTTTCTGATAGAAGGCACTTTAACCAAGCCTTTAGATTAGGATTGCTTGTCCTGTTGTAGCTATTATGGATTAGTGTTTATCACATAATCAACAGTTGGTACCACGTTTCTGTGGTTTACATTGTTCCAGACCTTTACTTTCAGAGCTCTTGGGAAGAAGGCATTTTCAGTACATTTTTCAAACTGTCTGTGCATAATACCTTGGGTTAATATTAGGTGATTGAAAGTGTAACACCCAAAATTTCAGTCTTTCACCTTAGCCAGAGGTGTGGTTTACAAAATAGTGAGTTATTTAACATGTTTTGCATAACTGATTCTGTGATCTAGTGTATGCATCTGTTAAGGATGAGTTTTCTGCTTGTTATTTTTGTATTTCTTGAACGAATAAAACAATTGTATCCCTGCTTCACTGGAAAATGTATTTCACGATGCAAGCACACCACAGGGAGATCTGAGCCAGCCTGGACAAGCACTATTTGCTTTTGTTGATGGGCATTTTTTAGATCTATTGAAGCATTACTACTCTCTTATTTCTGGCATGTGTATGTGTACACACAGACATTACCTCTACTTCCACTTACCTTAATGAGTATTTCTTTGTGCTGTAATGTAAGTATAACTGTTGATGAGTGTCAGATGTGTATTTCTCATAACAGGGTGAAAGTCTCTCTGCTATGTATTTTTCCCCAGGAATTTTCTATCATTTACCTCTGTAACTAGGACTTGTAAAGGGGCTGATGGAGTTTGAGTGCTTTCCTCCTTGATGTTCCTTTGACAAATCCTAGTCTTTTTACCTTCTTTGCTCCCAGAACTCTCATCAATTTCTGTTATATATAAATGGGAGGGAATAATAGTTTTTGAACTGATACCTCTTGCTTGTATGGTTCTCAGAGTGTTTTAATCATATCTATATTCCCCTTAAAAGCATCTTGCTCGGAAAATGGGCAGTGGGAATACTGAAAGAACAAGGGCTATAAAGCTGTAGTTCAGTGCAGAAGAGACATTCTTCAGATTTTTCTATTTCCTGTAGCTCTGTATACTGAATAGAATGAACAGCTAAAAAGATGGAACAGTTCAGGTCTAGGCTGTAGCAAAAGAAAAGAACACCAGCCAGCATAAAAAATAAATTTCAAGTCCAGTTCTCTGTCCATGGTTTGGCCTTTGCCAGTAGGAATCCTAAACAGTAATTTTTAAAGTGTGTTCTCAGTGTGGTTAATCTTGGTGTAACTTTATTTGCTCAAAGTCTGTTAGGCAAAGCTGCAGTGTTGCCTGTTGCTGTTACAGTAAACGTCGGGCTTAGAGCTCGGGCTATTCTCAGATTGTCAGCCATCCAAGTAACCAAAGCTCCTTAACTTTGAAAACTAGATGTCAAGCCCAGGCAGACTAATAATGCCATCTGTCTGAGGCATCTGGATATTGACCCTCTTAGCACGATGTGTAGAGTTTCATTCCCAAATGCTTTCGCAAATGGAAAAGACACAGATCTGGAAAAAACAGCTCTTAAAAAAAAAAAAAAAGAAAGAATTGGACTATGTTGAGCTATGTGCAATTTTGGTACATATTATATTCATCAAACTACTAAAAATATCTCTTTTCATGAGTAATGCAGTAAGGCATTGATGCCAATTTAGAAAGGGATTACGTTTCTGGCTGGAAATGTGTCAAGATGCACATTTGCTCACCACCATCAAAGTACAAATCGCTGATTAACATTGCAGAAAAATTCCTTAGAAGCAGAACGAGCTGACAAATCTGAAAATACTTAATTTGTTCAAATGCTACTTTGTACCATGGGATTGCCAACTGGTTTGTCTCACAGAAGCCCTGCTCTCTTGGGATGCTCCTTGAAGTGAAAGGCAAAGCTACACATCTGAAAACACACTGTAAGGCTGTAATGTAGTCAATATAAAAGATGAATATCATCTCAGCCTCTTCTGTAATTTCTGTAACTTTTGTTGCTTTCTATAGCTTCACAATGGACTTCTTCTATTCTGTAAGAAAATTTGCTTTCTACAAAACCCTGGGGGAAGGAAGGATGAGTGTAGTCACTGCAGGCACTGACTGGGAAGGAGAAAGATCAGGAGTCCTGTCGCTGTTTCCAGCACAGATTTGGATTAAAGCAATGCTGGATAAAATGCACGAGTAGTGTTTGGGACTGGAGGTTCCTTTGCTTTTTCCTTGTTCTCTGTGGATCAATAATCTTGTTTTCTTTGCTGCACGCTGACACAGCTCCGGTGGGAAGCCTCCTCTCCCAGCCACACACCCTGACGAGCAAATTGCAGCATGGGCAGGGCATGGCCCTGGGGGGAGGCTGTGCTTACCTGCTTATTGTATACAAGCACAGCACTATCAGCTGTGTTTTGAAAGAGTTTACTCCTATTTCATCCTCCAGGTCCCCTCCCTCCTCAGTAGGGATGTCCTTTGATTTCAAGCTGGTTGGCTGTTCCTGTGGCAGTGTTGTGAAAGATCTCTAAAGCTAAATTCCCAGTTCTCTCCTTGTGGTTATCTAGTACCTCTCCAGGTTTTAGTAATCTGTTAAGTTTACTAGGTAACAAATTTGGCCAAAGTCCTTCACTGTGGGACTTCATTTGGGCTTGTTTCATTGTTTTCTTTCCACCACTGCTGGAATAATGATGCTCCCTTTACTGGAGAGAGCTCCTTTGGGTCCTGATGGCAAATTCAGGATTTTTCTCCTGAGACCACTGCAGGGTTGTTGTAGTTGTAATTGCTGATGCCTCTTGCATAGGGTGTTTAGCAAAGTGCCTTCTGCAAGAGGAGTGCCAGCTGTCTACATGGAGATGTATCCCAGGAAAGAGAGATCCCCGGGAGCACAAGGAGTTCCAGCTCGTGCAGTCAATGACCTGGTGTGCATCGCTGTGCCTTTCCCTTTAAGCCCACCTGTCTGTTATTTCCTGCAGTCTTAAAAGCAGGCAAATTATTTTTCTCTAATTACGTCATTTAGATGCTGTTACGGGAGTTTGCTTTTCCTCACCCAGCACCAGCTCGAATCTGGGCTTCCACTCTGCAGCATCAATTTGACTTTCACGACTTCTTTGAGGCACGAGCTTGGTGATGAATCAGCAGCACGTGTGTTTTGGAAATGTTGCCATGGGTTTGTGGGTAGCTGGTGGCAACGGGGAGCTCTTGTTTTTGGTGTATTGGGGAGTCAGATGAGAGGGAGTTGAGAAACATCGCCTTGGGAAGGAGGGGCTGGGCTTGTTTTATTGCTGGTGCTGCTCTATTCCGAAAGAGTTGCAATGAGCTGATGCCACACGCACTCTGATGCCTTCTCAGTGTGTTTTCTTTCTCCCTCACAGGGTGCTCTTCTGCCTGGATGAGAGGATGGGAAAGCTGAGCCCTGAAAAGCACACCACAAAAGTCCAGTAAGCGAACAGAAACCCGAGCTGAGCCCTTTACATACAGTTCCCACTCTGAATATGCTATGGAGATTGGGCAGAAAAAGGGGTTTGTCCAGAAAATACCAAGCAGGATAATGAAGGACTATCTGTTACCGGTGAGAAAGACATGCTGCCTGAGACAGCTTTTGCTGTTCAGGTAAAATAATGTGCCTGCAGAAAAAAATCTTGCCTAAATTTTTGTGTGTGACAGCTGCATGATGTCCATTTGTGTTGGTGTTGCAGCATGTTATGTTACGATACAAGGGTGGTGGGCTGTGTTTCTTGGCTTTTGCAAAGAACAAGAAATCAAATATTTAAAAATATTTCAAGAAGAGAGTGAGGTAATGAGTGTACAGGGACTAACAGTAAGGAGACTTGGGTTATGGTTGTGAGATCCTGAATGAGAATAGGTTTGTTTATGCTGGTCTCTCTGAGTTACAGTATACAAGTATTAATTAAGCCATACATCTTCATGAAACATATGGGCAATTTCCCCTTATTACAGAAGGGAATAGTGGAAGCATTAAGGGTTATATTTTAAAGACAAAGAATCACATTAAAATGATATCTTATGCAAAAAAATTTTTGGGAAAAAAAATCCCACTTTTTGGACCATAGCCTAAACTTTTTCTCAAGTCCATGTGTTCAGACTGTGGTGAGAACTTCAGTAGATAGATGGACTCTGAGGAGAGACAGAGAGACTTGCTGATATTTAGGCATCTGAATACCAGCCTTTGCCTTTGCTCCAGCACCCACAACAGTTGTTTTTACAGCTTTCTTCCTGAATGTTATTTTTTTTTTTCCTTTTGAGCGCTCAGTTCTAAACGATAAAATCTATCTGCAAATCTTCCTGCAGGTTTCTGATAAATACATAATGTGACTGCAGGGCAGGAAGTCTGTGCCTCTGACACAGGTGACTGCGGGTGACATCCGTGGCTTATGCTACAGAGAAGAGTCAGAGGAGCAGCAGGAAGGATGTTTTCAGCTGGTGGGTTCCTGCTGTGTAGGGTGAACAGTAGAACAGCTCAGGCCCTCGAAATCACAGCCGGGGGAGGGTGAAGATGACCAGGGGTTTTTACTCTGAAGGTGGTTATTATGAAGCTGTTGGAATAAAACTAGTATTTTTATAGAAGTGGTGGTTTATTTCAAAGACTGGAGGAAAATGCATGTCTAAAGCCCGGTTTTTCTGGCTTGTGGCAGGCGGGAGTGTGGGAAGGGGACGTGTACCAGCAGAGGGCAACAGTCTGGAGCTCCGCTGGAGGTGCCGGTGGCTCCTGCAGCATCTCCGCCCGGGGAGGGATCCCGAGGGGAACGGTGCTGGGGAGGTGCTCCAGCCCTCTGCTCTGTGAATCGCATTTAGAAACCAGTGCTTCGGGAGTCTCCTACTGCTTCAGCTGCCACATCATCACTGATTCCAGCTCTCGGGAGGTCCTTACCTAGAAGGTCTCCTAGAGCTTCCTTTTGAGCCTGGTGATAACCTGAATCCCTGTGAGTTGCTGCAGTAGGTAAATTTTAGCTGCTGTTTTGGTTCTGTTACGTGAGAGCCTGCTCTGAATTCGAGCACTGGTTGGGCAGCAAGTACCTTCAGGACTTCCCTGCTGAGGCACCTCGAGCTCCTGCTCCTTTGGGAGCCAGGGCAGTACCTGAGCACCACCTCTGTGACTTCAATTCACCAAAGCAGCTATCTCAATAGATACCTTACATTGCTTTTCTTATATTAATTTCCTTAATGGACCTTCTCCCCAAAAACATATGGTCTAAATGCAGATCTCTCTAAATGAATACTTACTTAATTAGAATGACAAAATAAGTTTAGTTGGAAGGGACTTCTGGAGATGATCTGGTTCAAACACCCCTTAAAACAGGAGCAGCTTCAGGGTCAGATCAGCTTGGTCATTCAAAGATAAATATATATATACTTAATATATGCATTAATAAAAATGTATGTATATATATAAACATATATTTATCTAAGTATATAAATATCTAAATATGTATATGTCTTAAAAAAAACCCAACAGATTGAAAAACAATTTAGGCTGAGAAGATGCAACTTTGGAAGCTTCCATGAATGCAGTGTTTTATGTACACCTTTACCAGCTCTTCAATGCCGAAGCCACAGATTTTTTTTTTAAGAAAGCTGATTAATAATCTGGTGGAGGGGATTATGCAGCTAAACAGGAGAGGTGCTAAAGATAGGAAATTGCTTATGATATGGATCTATGGAACCTGTATATTGGTATATGCCTGGAAACAGGTATGTACAGTGAAGTGAGGGGTTCCCAAATCATTGTTTGTGTTGTATTTAATCTGTATGATCCTGTGATTCAGGGCTCTTGCAGTTTGCCTTGCAGAGCTAGGACGGGTTTATTCCCACCTTGATGAAGTTTTTCTGCTTTCTGCAGAAGCTGTGGAGATTGACAGGATGTTTTCCAAATGTATTGGGGCTCATCACAGAATTAAATTCTTGTTAGCACTCAATGTCCTTTACTTACAACCTCAGGGCTAAACCAGCTGCTGAACTTAAGGCCAGTAGGTAGTTTTGGATCAGATTGGCAGGATTTGTTTTTATTCCCTCCCTTCCTGCCATTTTTATTGAAGAAATTCCTTGCTGCCACGGGGACACTGGCAATGCTTTGCTCTCCTGTCCCTGTGGCTCATTGGAGTTGGGGGGTTTGGTCTTTCACTGTAGATCTGAAGGTTGTTGCAGGAATCTGGAAAGGTTTTGGTGGGCCAAGGGTTGGTGGGACTGGCTGGAACAGGAGCTCTGTGGACCTTTCTACTCTGAGCATCAGTTATATGTTGTCAGTGATTGAAGGTAGATTAGATGGAGGAGGAATTTAGGACTACTTGGGACTAGGAATTTTTGAAAGAGGCTGGAAAATTTCCACCCATCAGGTGTTACTTATTCCTTTTAGCTGGATACTTTTTACAAGAGACCAATCTCTGAACCTAAAAACAAGCAAGAAGTTTCTGTCTTGGAGTTGTTACCCAGTCATGATTATTTTGCAAGGCTGCTCTAAAGATAATCTCTGATTACTGGGATGTGCTTTTGTCCCATTCCAGCAAGGACTATTTGCTGGTTTGCTTGTCTGTCACTGGGATTTACCTTTTTGTGGTTGCTGTCAGGATTTGTAGAATTCAGTGGTACACAAGCCAGTGGGTCAATGCACATAAGAAAGTATTGCTGGTTTGGTTCAATTTAGGTTTGAGCTCATATCTTGCAGTTTTGCATGTTGTGCATCAAGTGTGTAAGGCTGGACACTGGGACGTACTTGAGGATTTGGGTGTGTTAAAATGATAGTTTAACAGGATTCTGAAGGGGAAATAAAGGAATTTTGCCTAAATCCTGTGTGAGGTTTGACTTCATGGCTTTATCTGTATTTCTTCTGTTTATGGGGGGGCTGCCAAACGGTGTTTAAACAACGGGACTCTGGAGTCTCCATCCCCATGTGACTTTAATAATGTCCTTAAAGTTTCAGGTGTGTTAAGTTTTCTTATCTGAAGAATGAGGGTGATGACTAGTTAAGATCCTCAACAAGCTTTTGAAACCCTCCTGTGGAAGCTGCAATTGCATCTGTTCAACCATCGTTGCTGATACATTTTAAAAGATGTATGAAACTTAGGCTGAGGACATGGCTTCAGGAGAAACATAGAAGAGCAAGGTAATTTTATTTACAAAAGAGATGAAATGGCACCTTGCAAGAGAAATCTCTTGATACTTATCTCTTTCTTTTGCACGAGAACTTTTTTGTGAATGGAAGAGCAATGAAAGCAACTGTTTCTTGTCTTTATTACAGTTAACCTCTAGGGCCTCACTGTTACAGAATACAACTGAAAAATTCTTTTAATAAAACGAGGGGGGAACAAAAAAGATTCGTGTGAAAACCTCCGCACCTGTATCAATTGTGATGAAAAGGGCAAACGTGATTTAGTTCAGCGCTTTGGGCTGAAGAGCACCTGCGGTTTAGAAGGACCCATATTGCCTGTGCAGGGTGTATTTGGCCTGATGGATTGCACAAAGGGCTGGAAGGTTTTGACAAATTGAGGAAGTGAAGAGGAACCTGAGGGTGCCAGCGCCTCTAAGTGTCCCCACAGCCCCCCTGCGGGGGGGGCTGTGGGGACACTTAGAGGGGCTGGCACCCTCTCCTTCCTGGAGAAGGTGACGGCGCTCAGCGCTCCGGGGATGCTCAGCCACCGAAACTTTTCCCGCAGCCCCGCAGGTCGCGGGGACCGAGGAGGTTTTGGGCCGCCTCTCTGCTCATCCACGGGGGGACGGGGCTGCTCCGCGGGTGCGGGGCCGGCTTGGGGCGGGCTCTGCGCTGCTCGGCCGCGGCTTCGGGGCCGGTGCGGGGCGGTGCGGGGCGGCGCCGCCGTTGCCCGGAGACGCTCGCAAGCCCCGCCGAGGGAGGGAGGGAAGGAGGGAGGGGGCTGCGGGAGGCGGTGGCGGCGGCGGCGGGGCCGCAGTCGGTGCGGTGCGGGCGGCGGGGCGCGCCCGGCTCGCAGCGCTCCGCTCCCTCCCGCAGGAAGCGGCCCGGGGCGGGGGCGGCCGCTCGCAGCCATGCCGGGCCCGGGGCGCTGAGCCGGCCCCGCCGCCTCTTCTCCACCCCCCCCGCACCATGGAGGACGAGAGGTGGGTACCGCCGGCCTTTGTGCGCGGGGATGGGGATGCGCCGGGAACGCACCGGGAACGGCACCTTCCGCGGGGTGGGGAGCGCTGCGCGGGACGCGGCCGGAGGGGATTCCTTCCCCCCCCCCCCCTTCCCTCCCAGCCCTGCTTCCCGCTTGCAGGAATGCCGCCTGCCATGGGCGCCTGCCGAGCTATTCGTGGATGTTGCAATGTCATGGTGACAGGCGGTGTCGCCCCGTGCGCCCGCAGCGAGGCGGCGGAGGGGTTTCCGCGGGATGTGTTTCGGGTGTGAATTAAGGAGCTGAGGGAGGCAGGTCGCGGGTGTGTGTGTGTGTGTGTTTGCTAAAATGGAGGTGCCGGGCAGGGGGGTGGGATGCCGGGCAGGAGGGTGAGCTGCCGCTGTGCCTCGCGAAGCGCCGGGGTTGTGTCTGCGCTGCTCGTGGCTGGAACCTCGGGCAGCCGACTTCGGCATTCCGCCGAAGACAGACCCGCTGACATTTGCTGCTGTTTTGAGTCATGAATGAAAATCTGTAACGTCCGTGGAGCCCTTTGGGGGTCGGTTTTCCTGCCTGCGCGTGTGGAAGCCGTGCCCTGCCGGGTGTTAGGGCAGCGCAGGGGATCCCCCGTCTCCCTCGCACGGTAGCTGGGCCATATAGACTTTATTTCCTGCAAGGCAGCTATTCTGTTCCAAAATCTGCAGAAGTATTTACAGAGTCGACCTAATGCCCACTGAACCCATAAAAGATGTTATTGCTGCGCAGGGACCTCATGGATCCAGAGAGATGTCCAGTGTTTCAGCTCTGCCCTTGTTCTTCCCCTCTGTCAGGTGCCTTTCGCACACCAGAAGCCTCTTGTGCTGCTTCAAACTAAACATTAAGCTGGTTTGGGGGTTTTTTTTGCAATATTTTTTTAAAAACAGGATATGCTGAGTGTTTCCTTTTGTGCTGGTGACCTTGCAGTGAGTGGGGGAACAGTGAGGGGGCTTGACCTGCTGGTGGGACTGATAGTCAGGGCTTGACAGAAGTTTTGTTTAAATATGATACATTGAAAAATTAAGCTGGAGTCAACCCCCAAATTCTGGAGATTTTCCTTTTGTTGAGGCAAAACATTCACAGCAGTCTGTGGGAGTTGTTTTCCAAGCTCCAAAGGGCAGCTTTCTACCCTTCTGTGACTCAAGTGATGCAATTGTTTGTGTATTTAATGTGCAAAACAAAACTTTCATCCTGCCACATTTCTCTCTAAATTACATTGTAAGGCTTCTGCATCCTCTAGGGGTGTGGAGAGCCACCTCTGGATATTAATCCAGATATCAATTATTTTAAGTGCCTTGAAGTCTTAGTTTGTTATGCTAGATACCAGCTCATGGAATGGGATTTCCTCTTTTTTTTTCTTTATTTATATGAGTGAGCCTGTGTTTGAGGAAGTGGAGCAGAGCTGTTTTGATACCCCAGGCTGGGGTCATCCTTGGCATTGTTGCTTATTGCCTTTTTTTGATGGTTACCAGCAATGGTTTCATTTTGACTGTTGGCCTTTTGCTGGGGATACAGTGGTGAAAAAGTCACTGGGAAAGTACCTGGATTATTTTGCCTTATCCTGTTTTTCCAGACCATCTGCTTTTAGGGCATGAAGAACTGTCCCCATCAGCACGTTCTCTGCCTCTGGAAGTGAGGAATGATTACCCAAATTGCTGCTTGTATTTCTAGTTTTCGGGAGGAGGGAGGCGGTCCTGAACTGCTTGCAGGCAGTAATGATGTGGGGTTTGACTCTTGGCAAGAAAAGCTGGAAATATTCACCTGCTCTGTGCTTGGAAAGGGCACGTTGTGTGGGACTGTGCCGAGGCTGCTGTGCCTGCTTGGGGCAAGTCCTGGCAGGGGGTGTTCAAAAATGACCCTGGTGGGCGGGCGCCCTGGGCTGGGTCTGTGCTCATTCTTGTGCTTTTGCCCCTCACATCTGTGTCAGGCAGATTAGTCCTCAGATTTTACACTCTGTGACTTTTGTGATGGCAGAATTCCCCCTGGTTTTTAATATTACTGCGTTTTCCATTTTTGTAGTCAGTGAGGAACACGTTGGTGGTGCTCATGTCACCTCTGACTCTGGTCCCCGGCCTGCCAGGACTCAAATATCCTGTTAACTTGCACATCCAGGTTGTTCAGTGGTATCATGTGCCCATGTCATTGCACACGGGCGGAAGCAGCTGGGGGCAAGGGGGAATTAACCTGAAATATTCACATTTGGCAGTAAAATATTTCAGAATTCTGGTTTTCCTTTGCTGTGCTGATAGGGATTTTCATTTTATGGAGAAATTGCATAAGGCAGTGGTCAGGCATGATAGTCTACTTCTGAATTTGCAAGATGTGTTTGAGTTTGACTAGAAAAAAACTCCCTGGAATGTTATTTTTTTTTTGTTAAAATATTAAAACACCTGTTTTTTCTATATTTGAGTGGAGGTAGTGTGTTTGTGATATTTGTTTGAGAAATACAATATTTACCTTTGAAAGCAAGCAGTATTGCCATATTTGAGTTATTTTGTGTTGTTTCCATTACTGTCAGCAAAGACTTTTCTTCTCAGTAGTTCCCGAAGTCTACTTTTCCCCTGAGGTCTCCTTTGATATGAATATCCTTTTGGGGATCTGCTCTATGCCAATTGTGTGTTTTTCTGAGCTAATGTCTCCATGTTGATGTAGGCACTGAAAAAATTCAACAAAATAGGAAAACAATATTGCTATTAAAAGAAAAATAATCCTTTCCCTTATGCTGCCTCCCATACGTTTTAATGATAATGCATTTCTCTGAAATCCTCTCAAAAGCCTGCTCAGTATGTGGATTCCTTTAGTCACAGTTTTTTTACTGTCTTTGTAGAGACCTAAAGATAGTTTCAGAAATTGAGATTTTTATAACTATGCTGTTACACTGACATATTTTTCTTACTGTGACTTGAGGAATAAAACTGCTGGACATAATGTATTTGTGCCGTGATTTTGGCCAGTGATTCCAAACAGAGAATAAGGCCAGTTAAGGTAAAATGATTTTTCCTTTTGCTAAGCTTAAATTAATATTTTGGTCTCCATTTATCTTAGTAGAGGCATTTAAATTTTGAACCCTACTAACTGCTATTGGGCTTCTGTCACTTTTTGAGATCAGAGTGATGTCAAACCTCTCAGAAACTGGAGATTAACATTTTATGGCCGTGATTGTAACATATGCCACAAAGAAGCTCCATAGGCTTAGAAAATTTACAGTTAGCAGTCATTTTTAAGTTAATCTAAGGATATGAAGCCCCTGTGGAGATGGTGGATTGCCTGTGCTGTGGGAAGGGCAGGTTGAGTCTTTGGCCAAGCTTGTGGTGCCGAAGCTCCGTGGTGTTGGGGGGCAACCAGGAGAGCAGAACTCAGCCTGTGCTGCTGTGTCAGGAGATTAAAGCAGCTCCCAGAGGCCCCTCCAGTGATGCACAGTGGGATAAGGCTGGGCTGGACATGTCTGGAGTCCCATCACCTCTCCAGTGTGAGAGCCTGGTGGAGAAGGACCTCTGTGGTGCCCACTTTGGGTTGGGAGCTGAGCCTGGTGGCTGTTCTCCCAGAAACACATGCAGAAACTTGTCCTTCCCTGCTCTGAAGGAGAGTGCATTTGAGAGCTACCCTTCCTTCAGGGTGAACTCCTGGCTCCCATAAAGCCAGGGTTAGAATTGGATTTGGCAGAGCTGGGATTTTTGTTCCTGGGGTTTACCAGCTCTCTGCACGGCAATAATCTTGCCAGGGGACAGTTTATCTCTGAGGAAGGCTTTTATTCTTTCACATAATCTACAAAGACATCTGTAATTACTGCTGGTAACTAAGGCAACCCCACTTTATAGTTGATATATGTAGGCAGCAGAACAGTGGGTTATGGGTTTTTAAAATACCTTTCTGTCCGTCGGAATGTGGGAATGCTCAGGCAGGAGCTGGGCTGTGAGCCCTGGGAAGCCTGAGCCCAGCTCTGCTAGGGGTCCTGGAGAGGAGGAACATGGTGTTGATGGGGTACTGATTAGCTTCCATGGATTAATTGGGGACCCTCAAATCAGGGTTCATTCGTTCTGCTTGGGGACACTGTGAAAGGCCGTGCAGGAGGTGGCAGTGGGGTGGGCACTGTCTGGAACGAAGAGCCTCTCTGCTTTTTTTAGGAGAATCCTGCTGTGTCCATAAAGAGGATGCTCGTCTGGCCCAGGGAAATTAAATCATTTGTCCATTCACTCAGTGCACGGCCTTGGATAGCCCAGGAATAGAACAAATTGCTCCTGGCAGCTGCCTCGCGAGTCCTGCTGGTGTAGTAGGACATGAGCTTGGCAAACGTGAAGGTGCTGGGGGGGAAGTCCCCATGGTCATGGGGTTCAGGGGCTCCAGCATGTCTGGGTGGTCTCATCTGGTACCTTTGATCAGAGGACCCCGTTCCTCCTTTGCTTCGATCCATTAAAATTAAAACAGGTAATAATCCTTAGCCTTATGGGGGAAAAAACAATCTCAGAAAAGGGCTGTGCAATGTGCTGGTTTGTTCTTCTCAGGGGCAGCTTTTGCTTTGTGGCAGGTTGCATTTGCTTGGAGCGTTCAGGTTCTTGCATTTTTGCGTTGGAAATGTGTCGGTGATCTCTGAGAGTGTGTGCAGGGAGGTGTAAAATCTCTCTCCCAGATAAAACCATCCTCCTTTCATTACTGGCACACAGTTCTGTGGAAGCTGAGTTTGTCTCGAAGATGAGTTAAAGGCTCCTGGCCATTAATTTTTCAAATCTGTTTTTTCATATGAGTCATTTGGAAAAAACTTTAAATAGCATATCTTGATCTTTTTTGAAGCAAGTTTTTAACCAGACAATCTGCAGTATTTTTTTTTATGGTAAGCCTTTGGCAAATTGTGAAATCCACCCGTTAATAAAGCTCAGGATGTCTCTTTGGATGCTTTTTAAAAAAATTACCTTTTTGCTGCTTTTTGGGAAGAACTGCTTGATCTTTTCCCAGAATTCTGAAGCAGTTTTTTTTGCTTTTAAAATACACAGCCAAATGTTGGTGGAGTTGAGACTTTTTGAAGCCTTGTTGATCTGACATTTACTTTGGTGTTCAGTGAAACTTGCTGTGTCCTTTGAACTGTGTCTTTTACCAGCAGAAAAGTTTGAATATAAAGAATCTTTGGTCTCCAGTGCTAATAAATAAATCTCGGTGGTGTGCTTGTTCTTGTTAAAGAACCCCCATGACTTTTGTGTGCATCACCTGATTTGGGATCTGTGAGGCGTGTCTGTGATGATGCCCAGAGCAGTGTCCTGCACTGTCCAGCTGTCCTGGGCTGTCCCTGACGCTGCCTTTTGGTTTCACTTTCTTTTTTTTTTTTTAATTTTCCTTTCTTTTTTGTTTACTCTGTTTGCTTCCTGTGCGTGCTCCGGCTTTGGAAACTGAAAGCTCAGTGAAGTCACTTGCACTTCCAGAGCCTCATTCTTCCCTCCTTGGCTCTGTCCTGACGAAGGGGCAGGTTTAGCTGTTCAAAAACCAAGGGTTTCTGCTGGGGTGTTCAAAGCTGTGGTCAAACTTCAGTTGGCCTAAGATTTCCACCAGGGCTTTTGATAGATACAACAGTGAGGCTTAGCTGAATTAGGCTGTGTCCCTGGAGCCAGGAGGATTCCTCACTGGAGTGTGCAGGCTTGGGGAAGAGCCGAGTGCCAGTGCTGCTCCATGCCCAGGGACACCTCTGGCAGTACGTGGAGCACAGAATGAGTTCAGCTTTCTCCAGGGATAGAAAAGCTGGTTGTGTCACTGCCTGGCACCAGTCCCCTGCGTACTGAGCCTTTAACATGAGATATTCTCCTTCCTGATTTTTTTTTTCTTTTAATCCAGCCATACTGAGCTAATTGGATGACAACTGTAACGGAGTCTGGGAAGTTGTCTTCCTCCCTGGGACATGTGCTGAGTGATGTTGTGCTCAGCCTTGCAGCTCCACTTATGACTGAAAATATTTCACTTGCTCAGCAAAGTGAAAGAATTGGACTTGGCTGTTTTTTGGCATTAACCTTTGTCTCAGGCACAAAGCTGGAGGCTGCTCAGTATGCAGGGGTGTATTTGAGCTGTGTGCAGCCTGGCTGCTGTTCAGCCTCTTGCTTTGAGAAGAAGGATGGTGCAGCCCACCACAGACAGCTTGGGGGGTGAAGAGCTCCGTGTGCCCTCAAGGGACACAGTGATGGTGACAGTCACCTGTCAGGAGCAGGCAGTGGGGAGGATGTAATGTTCAGCAAGGGCCTCACACTGCAAATAGTGAACAATGTGTTTTTCAGAGGGAAAGTCATTGGGTATGAGTATACATGTGTATAGGTAGATATGTGCATGCATGCACACCTTGGCAGAGGCTGGTGGGCTGTTCTGGGGAGGATCCTTCCACTCTTCCCTGGCTGTGTGCCCTTCCTCGGACATCACCTCCTGGTCACTGGTAGTGCCAGGACGATGGGCTGCCCAGACTGTTGGTTTATCATGATACAAGCCCAACTAAGAAAGGTGGCAGGGAGGAGGGGACAGAGGTGAAGCTGAGGGAGGCTGTCCTTTGGAAGGAAAGCTCTGAGAAGGTCTCGTGTCAGGCACATGGTGATGGTGGAGTTGCCTCCCAAAGTCTGCCGTTCGCTTGCAGTTGGCTTTGACACGGACAACCCTCCTTGACTTGTTTTATTTGCCTTTGCCTGCTGAGAGTTTGAGGGGTGAACCGTGGGCATGAGCAGAGCAGGGACCTGCCTCAAAGTGCTGCTTCTGTCCTAGGTGGAAACCTTTAGCTCCGAGTGCTTTGACGCGCTCGCAGATCGGGGAGGCGGAGATATCGACCCGCTGTCAATTCTGTGCAAAGAGCCAATGCTCCCAACAAAGTCATGAGGACACGGGTGTGCCTTAGGCACCTGTTGGCCTGGTTAAACACGGCACAGCACTGGGTGCTTCTGGTTTGACATTGACTGCAGAGCTGGTGGTTCTGGTAGGAAGGTTTAATAATTCGTTCCATACGTTTCAGTGGCAATAAATGGACCTGTTTCTAAAATGGAAATGGGATGTGGCCTCAGTAAAGCTAATGCTTTGGAAGCTGGGCAGGGAGTTTTAATAGTCCTTTTCTGCTTGCCTCTGTGGAAGATACAAGTCATGTATTGTGTGCTTGCCTTTTTGAGATGGGACATTGAAGGCTAAACTTCTCTTTCTCTGTATGGATGTTAAAAAATCCGTGGTACTCCTGTAGTTCCCAGTGCTGAAGTCTATTTCTATTCAGTGAGGCGATTATGTTCTGGCTTGAATTTCAACTTATACTGTTTTCCTGGCCTGAAGCCTGTTAGACTGGGCTTTGTCCTCAAGTGTTTGGCACTTTTTTCTTTTCTTCCCTGCTGACTGAAATGTAGGCTGAGTTGGCTTTCAACATCCATGCAGAAGTAGCTGCATTTTGTGATGCTCTTCATGTAGTGAACCTGAACTGACTAACAAACATGTGAATAACTCCATGCTTAATGCCCTGTGCTGCGGTTTTACGATGCTCATTTTAAAAAGTGCCATTGAATCAAACTATCTACTCCTTTTTTTTTTTTTCCCCCTCTTTTTAGCATTAAGCAGAGCCCCCGTTCCTCTGAGGCAGCTGAAGATGAAAAGGAGCAGCGCACAGTGACAGTCAATCCCTCTCACATGAGAAAGGCTTTCAAGGTCATGAATGAATTACGGAGGTACACTTTTGACTTACTGGGCACCCTCTCTCGTTTAGCAGAATTGTGCTGATTGAGAGACTCAGAAAATAGGTTGGGCCATCTTTGTTACAGCTAATGGTTGCATGTAGAGGATTAATCAACAAGTGGGAAGCTAAAATATAGCCCTTTTCTGGTGGTTTGCTCTCCCAAGCCTCAGACCTCTGTCTTCCCAGCAGAAGGAGCCAGCTGTGGCTCAAAAATGTTATCTGAGCAATAGCCTTCATTTATAGATAAGAATTCATTTAGTCTTTTCCATTACTTGCAGCAAATTCAGCTGTAAACTATGTTCTTAACTGAGATAATGGTCTGAAACCCAATGACAGAACATTATAGACATTGACACCTACGCATAATTACAGACCAAAGATTATTAATGCACTGTTCTTAGTCTCTTTAACTAGCAGCATCACTCAGTCTGGGCTTAGCACTCCAAAGTAAGGGGTGAAAAAAACCCCCAAGTGCTCAGGAAGAATGTCAGCTCTCTACTTGCAAATTGAAAAAAAGTTAAAAGAGAACACCTTGGTCTCTACACAGCTGTGTGGGTACAGGGAGAATGGAGGCTGAAAAAACATCTGTGAACAGAGTCTTCAAGAACTGCTGTCATCACATCAGCACTGTGGTGGCGGCGGTTCAACACGAGTTGTTCCTTCATTGCTGCTATCCCACGAACCAAACAGAAGTTCAGCAAGCACTTTTCTGACTAGCTCATTGGAGTTCTTTACCATTCAAATGGACTTGGAAACCAGATTTTTAAAAGAATTCCTATGGAGAGCATGAGTGCCATACACAGGGATGTACGTGCTCCCTCGCTATCGAGATGGTGCGATGAGAGCAAGGAACACCCTTTGCTCTTCATGCACACTCAGAGTACTCAAAGATGCTTTAATAGCTACCTCTCCTCAGTGGATTAAGTACTTTCTGTAATATACACGTTCTCTGGTGTGGAGAATGATTGAAAACGTTTCCTTTCACAGATATCTGACAGTGATTCTCTGTTGCATAGGAACAGAAAATGGAAATATTGTAACAGTTTCATGAAGCGGAGCATGCTGTAATTTTTTTCCTTTTTACTTTTAACTGGCATCCCTCTGGTCCTTTCTTTGTACTGAAAGCAAAGGATCTGAAAATAAAGGTTTGTGCAGCTATATTCAGAAATCTATTGTGCTCCTATTATTCCTTGTTAATTGAAGCATAGTGGGAATAACTGGAGATGGACAATGTTTCTTAGTGCCTGTGGTTAGCTAGATCTTGTGCAATACTGAAGTGACAAAATACAGAAGACTGAAAGCTGCCCTTAAGCACCTGTCTCATGTTTTCATCTTCTGGGTACTCGTTTTTCTGTCAGCTCCTGCTGCTGTTTTGGAATATACAGGTTTCACATCTATTATATGTGCATTGAGCTTGTGATCTGTTAAGCTGTCAACAATCAGTGTTAATAGGTACCTTGAATAATAGTGCCTCCCTTCACGTGCATCCAGAAATGTCATACAGGGAGTGTAGAAAAATCTTGCTAAGCTTTTAACCTATTTGCAATATAGAACCATAGAATTGTTTAGGTTGGAAAAGATCTGGAAGACCATTGAGTCCCACTGTTAACCCAGCATGGCCAAGTTCACCACTAAACCACGTCCCTAAGTGTCACTCAGGGTTTTAGCTTTCAAATGTAGGTGGAATTATTTTATGAGTGGTACTTTAGGTGGCTGTAGATGACTCCAAAGAGGAATTGAGCAGAGCACCTTTTGCATAAGCTGAAGGATATGAGGAAGCTTCCATTAAGAGGCTCGTAAAGAGCTCCCATCATTGCCCTTACCCCTTCCAAACTGGGGTGAACATAGAGTACAGACTACCAGTTTCTACTTTCTTCCTGTTTCCAACTTTAACCCTCTGTTTCACAGCTGTTTTGTTCACCTATTTCAATATATGGATAAGAAGAGGCATACCTAGTCCATTAGAAACTCTGTGTATGTTTACTTGATAATGAGGTTTCCTAAAGACAAAGTTCAGTGTGGAGATAAGCATTTCTGAAGAGAAGGCAACATCTAGATTTACAGACACTGATCCTTTTTCAGGCTTGGCATTTGAAAAGAACACCCCTAGTTTGCATTTGTATGCTTAAGCATCTTAAACCAACTTATTGGGAGGCTGAGCACTTCTTGCTGTCGGCATCTGCGAAGCTCTGTGCAAACATTAACTAATGAATCCTCAAAGGACAGACGTGGGGCAAGTAGAAAAGGTCACTCCTTAATGAAGTGACTTTTCCAAAGCTGTACAATGAGTCAGTGGGGGAGCTTAGAAGGTTTTTTTTTTTTTGTTTCTCTCTGGGACCTGGTTCTTTATCCCAGTGACTCTTAATCCCAGACAAATTCCTGAGGTAAAGGAAGTCCTCATGCCCATGGATAAACGCCAGTGATTGACACCTCCTCTCTGGCAGATGTCTGAGGCAGCCTCTCTGCTCATCAATGCCAGGACATGTTTTGGTGGTCACATTCTTTAGGGCCAAGCATGGAAGGGAGTACAGAAATCACTGCATTTTCCACTCTACCCTTCCCCTGTGGAAAGACCAAAGTGCTGCTGGTGTTCCCTTGTCTTACAGATCTACTAGAGCCTGGCTCCAGGTAGTGCCCAAACTCTTAAGCTCTTCTGTGCCTTCTCCAAGCCCTACATGTTTGAGAGGTGGAAGGAGCCCCTTATCCTTTGTTCTTTGGGCAGTGTGTATGCCTAGTTTGACTTCCATTTTTTTTCCCTGGGAAAAGCAGAACCACAGGCAGGGCTGCAGCATCAGTAGGATTCAGGCTTTGCTTTGTAGGCAAACAGTGATAGGAGCTGGTAGCTGAAGGATTAGAGGACCTTGCAGTGGGATTTGGCAGAAGCTCAGGTGCCCTGTCTGTAGTGGTGGGTCTTCCACTTACTTTTTCAGGCTATACCGATGTAGCTTTTTGCCTGACCAGGAATTCTGAAATGACCTTTGTCTTTTCTGGTGTTTTTTCCAGCAAGAGGCTCCTCTGTGATGTGGTGATTGTGGCCGAGACCGTGGAGATGGAAGCCCACCGCGTGGTCCTGGCGGCCTGCAGCCCCTATTTCTGTGCCATGTTTACAGGTACTCTCCTTGACACCACACACTGTTCTGGGGTTGAACAGGCCATTGCAATCCCAAGGCCTGAGGCTGTGTCTCTGTCAGGAGCTACAGCACAGGCAGAGGGTTTCCTCAAGAGAGAAATTATACAGATAGGTCTGCAGTTTGCTAAACTTCATGGATGATGCTGGTCATCCTTGACTAATTCCTTGGGGCATCTGTATGGGTGTGGGGTGCTTGTGTGGCTGTGGGGTGAGTGGGTAGCATGTGGGCCACAGTAAAGTTACTATGGGGTTTGGCTCACTCGATTTTTTGGTTATTTTTATTCCCCCTAACAAGACCGTGGGTCATGAAAACATTATTAACATCAAGCACGTGTGCAGTGCCCTAAATGTTCATGGTGCACATCAAAGAAGTAGCTGGCACAGGAGTTGTAGTTTCAAGGCTCAGCCCTGCTGATACTGATTTGGCAGTCACAGATGTTTAATCTCCCGTGGCACTTTTTTTCTGCTGCCTGAAATAACACCGTTGTTCTCTCGCTCCCAGGGTGTTTTAGCAGCCCTGCTTTTTGGCAGGGTGTGTTGCTGCAGTCTGGTATGTTTTGGTAAGGGCAGAAGGGAAGAGGAGGACAAAATTCTTGCTCTGTTGGCCTGACCACTGTAGCAAGTGCCCTTTGAAGGCTGTGCCCAGGCAGGGCAGCAAAGAAAGCCATGCCAATACTGAGGCAGGAGAGTGACCAGCTTATTTAAGTCATTCTAGTAAAATTAGTCTGGTCAGGAACTCCTTACCTTCCTTCCTTTTCCTTGCCCTCCTCTCCAGGGTAGGAACTGACTTAACCAAATACAAAGAAAATGATTTTGCACCCCAGGGAATGGGTGTTACTGTCCCTGAACTCCAACATAAATGAGCTACAGGGGTTTTGCCCCTGTTTCGTGTTCATTTGCTTGTAGTCTAGGGCTTGCTTCTTCCTTTTAAAAGCCTTGAGATTACACCTAGTTTAATTTGCTTTGCTGGAAGCAGAACACAGCACTTCTCAGGAAAGAGCTTGTCATTTGGGAAGCTTTTTTCCCTTCTGTGACGGAGGTGGGGGGAAAAACCTCAGGTGTAAACAGATGTCTGAATGTGAGATGAGATGTGACGCCGTGGTGGCTTTATCAGTGTGGTGGGCTCAGGTGGGAGAGCATTTGTGTTTTCTAGGGCACTACTGCTGCACCCTGAAGTTGGTGTTGGCTGTGGTGGTGAGGCAGAGGAGCAAATGCTGCTCAGAAGCAACTGTTTGTCAGGGCACCTCGAGCAGGACTTGAGAGGGCTTGTGATGCTCGTTCCTGGCGAGACGTTTAGTAAAGGAAAACTCTTGGAAAAACCCTCTGATCCTTAGAGGTCATCTGAGCGGGGAAGGTGGTGGTGCAGGGCTGCTCATGTTTCCATGCAGGAATTCTCTGGGCCGTGTAATCCCTCACGCTGTGAGTTAAACAGTAATCAGCTAACCACGGTCATGTGGCTGCTCGGCAGCTCCCCTGGGCTGGGTGACAGCCTGGGCAGCCGCCTGTCCCCTCCCCCTGACACATCCCCGGGGGCAGAGGGTCAGGCAGAGACCAGCTCTCCCTTTGCTTTCAGTCTGGCTAGTCCCAAATTCCTGAAGTCTGGATCTCTCTCTTGCAAAGACTGAGTGCGTGATCTCCTTCCAGCTGTGTGGGGGTTCCCTCCCTGCAAAGGGACAGTTTAAAATCACAGCTCCAACATGAGTTGGTTGTCGTGACTTGATTTTTTTTTGCATTGCAGTTTTGCATCAGTGATGTAGCCAGTGGCTCAGGGACAGCCACACCATGGGGTGTTTGCAGGAGCTGCCTGTGCACGCTGAGTTCCCGCTGGAGGAGCAGCTTCCTGGGGCTGTGGGGGGCTGGAGGGGTCCCCCAGCAGTGCCAGCAGCCACGCTGTGAGTGAGTGATCAGCATGAAGCTGTGAACAGTGGAAATCAAACTGAGACCTGCTGCTCATCCACCTTCACCTGCTGCTTGCTCTGCAGGCCCTGTCCCTGACAGCTGAACCTGACTTTGGTGTCACGAATGACCTTGTGATGACCTTGGAGTCTTTCCTAGACCATCTTCTGTCCTCTGGTCAGGCATTCCCCTTTGAAACAGCCTTGGGAAGCCTGAAAATGGGCAGGCACATCTTCCATTCCTGTCTTCCACTGCTGAAGGGGAGAAGGGACCCAGCACTTCCTAACTGAGTGTCCCTTTTTGTACTGGCTTTCTGTAGCTTTTTGGATGGTGTCTGGTCCTCATTGGCACTGTTCTGTGGGGATAATTTGGGGTACTAATTTCTGTCCATTTAGAAGAAAACAGTCATTTCGGAAAGGGTAGCAAATACCTCAGTGATGCTGCTGGGGCTGCTCCTGTGAGATACCTTTGGAATGTTGGAAATGCTGAAGGAGGAAGCAGGTCTCATGTGCCCTCCCTTGCAGGTCTCATGCGCTGCTTCAAGGCACTCACCCCATGTGTGAGAGGCTGTGGTTACGTTATATGATGCACTTGTATTCTCCTTCAGCACATCTGGGACTTGGGAAGCAAGCAAAGCTGTCTCTGTGCACTGGGAAGCCTCTCTGGAGTGCAGTGTGTAGGAGGCAGGGCAGGCTGCAGTGCTGGGTAAACATGGCACTGCAAGCTGCTGCAGTTTTGAGAGTAGTTTATCTTGTACCAGAGCAGAGCTCTGCTCTCTCCCTACCCTCACGAGCAGAGGGGAACAGGGAAAGCACTGCTGGGTGTTGAGCATGATGCAGAAAAGGTGTGCCCTCATGAGGGGCCATTGTCTGCAAAGTCTGTCCTCAGAGGAGGGTCTGCTTGGAGCCACTCTGCCTTTGCTCCCCCATACCTTATTCCTTGTGTCTGCCTGACTCTGCCCAGCCACAGAGGTGCAGGGACGGGTCTGTGCAGCACCTCGTGCAAGGCAGCCCTTTCTCACCACAGCCCTTAGGGATGAGAGATGATGGTAGTGCTCTGAGTTATTCTGTAACTGAGGTGTCAGGTGAGGCTCGAGCCTGACTTAGGAGAGACATCCTGGGAGTTGGGGTTTGTGGGATTTTTTTTCCTGAAGGGATGTGAGATGCCTTCATTGGCCCACTGTTGGCTGCCCACAGCTGTGCCCCAGGGGCTGCATTTGCCCTGGCTCTGTGCTGACCTGCTCCTGGTCTGCACCAACCCCTGCCTTGGTTCACTCGTGGTGTCTCCATGTTCTTCCTCACTCCACAGCACTAGAGACGTGTCCACCCTCTGACAAGTGGGAGGAACTCCATCGCTCCAGGTTGGATCCCACTCGACTGTGGGGCCCAGCATGTGAGACTCCCCCCTCGTGGTGCCTGGGCTGGCACCGGAGCAGAGGCAGCGGAGGCTGTTGGTATGCAGGGCTGGCAGCTTGCTGGTGGGTGTGGAAGCCCACACAGCTTTTATTTTTGTTGCCTGTGTCACATGAACACCGCAAGGACGGATGATGTTATCAGATTGGTCCCTCCAAGCTATTTCTGCATCGATCCCTGGGTGTGCAAGGCTGAGCCTCCTCTCTGCACCACGGGTCCCACGGGGCTCTGGCTGCTCTGCTCCTCCTCTCTGTGCAGGGGGGGTTTGGGGGGTGCTCCTTGCAGGCACCTCCAGCACCACAAGGCTGATGGGGACTGACCTGTTCTCAGAAGCCCCCTCTCATCTCTGGAGACGTCTGGGATGTTTTTAGGGGAGGAAGTGTGTGAAGATGACATTTTGTCAATTAAAAAGTCCTGCCTGCTTTGAAGGCCTCCCAAATGTAGGTCACTTATCCCTTTGTACTTGTACATTTATATTCATGGGCTTCTCTGAACAACACTTTATTATTTAATTTTAAAAATTGAATTTGGGACAAATATTATTTCACTTCTTGGGGCTTTTGACTCTTTTAACACTTATGGTCTCACCCCTCTCCTGTTATTTACCCACTTATTGGCATAAGTGAAGTCAGCAAAGTTCAATTTGCAGGATCCAGGTTTTGCTCAAGCTTGGACCCCCCTTTAACATCTGACTCTGTGCACTTGGTGTGCCCAGCCACGTCTTGTCAAACACTGCACAGAGGTGGAGGCTGTAATTACTTCTCCTATAGGCTGCAGGAAACATTTTCCCACTTAATCCCACAGCAGTTCTGAGTCACCGGATTTCTGAGAGTGGTGATTATTCATGCCCAGGTTTAAGAATTGACATTTTTTCATGCTCTCCTTTGTTCAGCTTTGTTTTTCCACCCGTCATTTTCTTTCCGCTTGGGGTTTTGCCCTTTCTTTTCTGTGGCTCCTCAAGATCTTGGTGATTAAACCCCGGGTGAGGTCACGGTGTGCGTGGATGCTGGAAGGGCCCTGGGGAGTCCTTTCTCCTCCCCCCAGCGTGATTTTGTTCCTCTGTCGTGCTCCTGTCACGCAGGGGGTGTGGAGGTGGGTCATGAGTAGGCTCTTACACGGACACGTGGTTTTACTTGTATATCCAGAGGGGAAATTATTCCCCTACTTCTGCCTGTTTTTAAGTTATGGATTTGGAGGAAGGATAAAATTTGGGTCCAAATGTGCGAGGCTGGGAAAGTGAGAGGTGAGGAAATACATGTTCCTGCATGGATGCTTTGCACAAGGTGTATCTGATGTCTGGGTTACAGCAGGGTAATTGAGGAGAGAAGCTGGCTGCACACTGGACTGGGTGCTTGTTTTCCTGAGCAGGTTTCAGCTTCTTCCTAAAGAAAGAGGGTAACACTGCCTTGCTTTTATTGTAGGGTGTACCACAAAACACCCTAATGCAGCTGTTGCAACATACTCATCTACTCATATGTATATATATTAAAAAAATTAAAAATACTTACAGTAAATATATAAAAAAGGTCTTCCTAAGACTTGCCCACAGTCTCTTTGAGTCTGTCCCTGTACTGTTGAGGGACATAATGGTTTTTTTTTGTTTTTTTAACCTCTATATTTGTTTGAATTCAGGAGACCCACGGCAGGTTCTTTTCTGTCAAGAAATTAAGCTCGTTGCATTTATTGACTTATTTTTTTTTACATTAGTGTCCTCAGTGTTGAGTTAGCTGGCATTAGGAGGCTTCTGGGAATCTCCCTGGTTGTTCTTCAGTGGTCAGGGGCAGTGCCAGGCAGTCTCGTAGTCAGACAGCAGGAGAACGTGCTGGATGTGTGGGGAGCGAGGTTCTGCAGAGCAAACTGTAACTGTCCTTTTGAACTGAATTTCAGGAGACATGTCTGAAAGTAAGGCCAAGAAGATTGAGATTAAAGACGTTGATGGCCAGACCCTGAGGAAGCTGATTGATTACATCTACACTGCCGAGATTGAGGTCACGGAGGAGAACGTGCAGGTAGGTCTGGTCCAGCACTTCCCGTGGAGAACTGAGAGAAAAGCTTGGAACTCAAAGGCACAGGTCCTTTTGGGGCTGAGGGATCTCCTCAGGCCACAGAAAGTAAAAGGTTGAGCTTGAAAAAAGCTGCTTCCAACCTCTGTTTAGTCTTGAGGCACTTTAGTGTTTTCCCTGCACTTAAGTCATGTTGCATTTAGCTTTTGTGTTGGGCTCTTATAACAAGAGCAGGCATTTGCCTTCCAAGAAGCTGTGCTGACTTGTGGGTCAGTCTGTCGAAGGTCAGAATAGACTCAAACAAGCAGTGATTTTTAAGGCCAGGGCAGGGGAATCTGGCTGTTAGTTTTTAAATTCTTCTGGGTAGTTTGAGTTGTTTGGCAGAGCTTTGAGTGGAATATATTGTTCAAATGAGGGCATTCTTCCTTTTTATTTTTGTGTGTGCACTCTGGCTTGAATTTCTGTGAGGTCAATATTTGTCCAAGAGTGGAAAGAGTAATTGAAAGGCAGCCTGGAGATAAAGCAGGGTGCTCAGGAAGAGAGTGTTTTGCTGTGTCACGTGGCTGTTGCTGCTGGTCAAGCTCTTTCTTTGACTCTGCTTGTATTTGTGGTAAGAAAAAGGCTCTGCACTCAGGCACTGATTTCTGGAAGGGATGCTGGGAGCTCGTGTGTGGACGTGCTTTTCGGTGGGTCTCTGGTTTTGTTTGCAAGGGGCAGTTTGAGCCCGTTGTCCTCCTCTCTGTGACCTGGACATAGGTCAGGGTAACAAGTCTCTGTCCACGATGCTGGAGAGAGAGGGGCAGTGCTGCTGGGTGCGTTCTGTTGACCTAATTAACATGGCAAAATTAGACTGGTTCTGCTTGAAATGAGGTTCTTGCTGTGAGCTCTTCTGCTCCAGTCCCTCAGGGGCAGTGCAGGTTCTTGCTGACCACTTGCTCTTGAAAAACCCTGGGCTGTGCTCACTTTGCAGTCTAAGCCTTTGCCATGCTTTGTGACCCAAGTCTGTGGGGGCCTTTTCTTGCCCCTTCTGCCCTCCACTTTTACAAACTTGACTTTCTGGTGCGCTCCCAGCCTGGCAGTTGTCACACTGGCAGGAGTGTGGAGCCTGGTTGTCCTACAGGACCATCAGCAAGGAGACCTTCAAGGTGCCACTGCAGCAAAGGAGCTGAGACTCAAACCCAGCTGTGGGTGGCTTGGACTGGCTGTCTGCTGTGTGACCCACACTTAGGGACTCTGTGTAGTCAGGATCAGCAGCAGCTGACATACATTACTCAGTGGGGAACGGGGGTGGAGCTCCTTGGACCTCCACTGCGGGAGGAAAAATGGCATTTACACACTCTCGGGCTGGTTCCTTCTTTTGTGGGAAATATGAAGGCCAAATCCATGTGCTTTCTGAAATGTGTGCTTTCCTTCCATGCTGCTGGTTGTTGGGTGGCTCAGAAGCACCCACTTGGCACGTGGGATGTGTGGAGCTCGGGACACCATCTGGCCCCAGCCAGCCTGCCTTGAATGGAGCTTGGGAAGGGCCTGTGCCTGCTCTGGCTGCGTTCCCAGGGGAGCATTTTGGTGCTCCAGCTGTACCTGTGTGTCAGCAGGGCTGTGGGAGCTGGAGCAGGCTGGAGAGCTGGCTCTGTCCTGCTCTGCCTGGGCCTGCCTGGGAGGTCTGGGAAAAGTCCAGGTGTTCCCTTTTCCGAGCAACTGGAAAGCTGTCTTTCCTAGTAAAACCTAACCAGAGCCTGCCTTCTGTGGCCCAGGGATTACAAGGAGTTAAAGTAAGATCCCTGTCTGTATTTTGGCTTTCATCTCTTAGACAGCAAGATAAAAAAAATGTAAGTTTTGAATACTAAGGTTTGGGCATGGTGTTTTTTCCCAGTCTATTAAACCAGGTCCTTTTACTGCAGGATTTATTTCAATAACCACTCTGTGAATAACTCTTTAGGCTAGAGGTAAATTAATTCATGGGAGCTGAAAAATGAAGCTGTTCTGCCGCAAGATTAACTGACTAGTTTAAATTTTATTATGTTTAAAATGTTCATGCTGAAAATGTTTTGTGGAATTTATTATAATTTTGTGATGAAACCAGTAGAAATAGATCCTGGGTGTTTTACTCTGAACAAAAGGCCATAAACAGGTTAATACTCACCTGCGGCCAAAAGAAGAAAGGTTAACAGAAATGAATATTGTGTGATTTGTTGGAAAGTTTCACATCAGTGAAGGCAAAAAACATGAACAACAAAAATTAAACTCTTTGCAGTCTCTGGTTTGGATTAGCAGTGTCAAGGTTAGGAGGAAGGTTTGGTCCCTTGCATCACCACATCCTCCTGATGCACAGCCTTGGGTCATCCATCCATCCATCCACCCATCCACCCAAGGACACCTCAGAAGTGCCTGTCTGTGTTGTTTCAGCAATGTTCCTTCACAGCCTTGCTTGAGCACAGTGAGACTTTCTCTTTTCCCAGCAGGTATCTCCTGAGGTCTGTTATTGCCATGCCATGCCCTCTGATTCTCTAGCAGGGCAAAGGTGCTTTTTTAAAGGAGTTTTTCAGACTTCCTCAGTGGGTGGAAGCAGCAATTTCTGGGTATAGGTGCCAGGTAATTTCATTGTGGAAACTACCAAAAATAAAAAGATTGCTCAATGGCATTAACTGAGCAGATGCAGCCAAGCTACCAAAACTTGTGAATAAATGAAAAGACACGATCTTTTCAGTGAGCAAAATAAGATGAGAGCAGAATAGAAATGAGAAGAAGATGAGCAGCAAAGGTACCATGCAGTGCAGGAATGAATGCTCCCAAGTGTGCTCGAATGCTGAGCAGTGCCCAGCATTTCACAACAAGAAGCCTTTTTACAGTATTTTTGTTACTTCTTTTCTAATAGAAACCTGTATTTTTTTTTTGCTTTTATAGGCCTGGTATGAGTTCAGGAAGTGAGACTCCCTTTTTTCTAAGCTTGTATTTCTGTAGCTGATTGTACAATGAAATGACACAGTGCTTTTTGTTTTGTTTTTCGTGTGAGGAAGGATGTGTGTACAAGGGGCCAAGCCTTTACAGTCAGTTCCAGTCATCATCTATGTAGTGAGTTCCTGAGGGGGAGGTTCATCCAGTTTCTCCTCAAGATTATGTCCCAAATGTGCAGGCAAAGGGGATTTTCAGCCCACTTTAGCTCTGTGAAGGAGAGCACTGAGCCCATGTGGAGGGAATACTCTCTTCTAACCCTGCTGGGGACACGTAGGTGAGAACTGCCCCAGCAAATGCAATCCTGCTTTATCTACTGGAACTTCATTCTTGGAGGGAGATGGCAAGGCAGTGTAGATGAAGCAGTAGGAAGGCTCAGGGATGATGGATGACAAAGAATCTTCTGAGCTGAGCAGCATTTTACCTCTGAACATGCATTTGGGATTTAACCTCCCACTTGTTTGGAAGGCTTGGAGCAGGGAGAGAACTTCTGTCTTTATTGCAGTCTCATGTTATTTCAGCAAAACCCACGCTGGGATTTCTGTCCCCACTGCCTTCTGTTGTTCCTCTTCTGTTGCACCCCACATCAGGGTTGGTTGTAAAGATTCATATGCATGACATACAGATCTCATTCATTCGAAGGTTGGGTTTGATACATTTATTTAGAAGGAAGTTGTGTCATGCAGTTTCTGTAAAAGGAAGGAAAACTAAAGTGATTGTCGTGGGGAAGTTCATGGATGCTCATGTGCAGCCCTGGTTGACTTCTATGGAAGATGTGTCAGAGCACAGGGCCTGCTGCTCCCCGCCTGTGTGGGGTAGCTGGTGGTTTTAACACAGCAATTACTTGGGTTTTTCAGTTAGGTCTTGATTTTGCAGCTGAAGTGGCTGCACTGCTGTTTTCCAACCCTCATATCAAACCTGCCAGCTCCGAGTGATGGAGCAAAGTCCAGCGATGGGGAAGCTGAGTGTGGTGTCCTCCAACAGAGCTGAATGATGAGGAGATTTGGGAGGAGGCTCCTCATTCTCTGAGGTGGTCCTGTGAACATACCTGGACCTCTGGTTCTAGGCAGTGAATACAGTCCCTCCTCAGTGTGTCCCAGTCATCCTTAATGAAGATGACACTTCATTACTTTCAGCAGCCTGAGAATTGCCCTCCCAATTAAGAAAGTCATTATCATTCAGGCTGTAATGAGTCCCTGGAAAAAGTCCTGATGAACCTGACTTCCCAATTAAACTTAGGACGCTGTGCAGTGTTACCACGTGTGAGGGGTGTCCTTGTGCACAGCCACAGTTTGAGATATGGATTGTACAGAAAGATTGAAACCTGAAATTAGCTGTCTGGAGGAAGTAGATATTGAAACTGTCAGCTTTGCAGGCACAGTAATTGTCATACAAAATGACTTGAGAAAAGAGAAAAAAAGCTTTGCTAGGAGCTGTACTATTTCTGTCTCAGATGTGTGCTCCTGCACCTCAGCTCTCCCTACGGAATCAGGACTTCACAGCAAGGAAGGAGAGTTGTGTGGCAGATGCAGTTTTGATGATAAAGGGGTGATAAGTGGGTCAGTTCATCACCCTTCCCCCTGTTCACTCCAAAAGCTGGAACTGTAGCAGGTGCAAGGCCAGGGTGAGGCAGAGCACCTTTCAGCAATAAATCAGGGCTGTCTTCCTCCCTGCAGCCAAAGCTCCTTGCCATGGATTGCCCTGGAGTGCTGGGGGTCCTGGTCCATGGCAGGGCTGACTCCTCTGGGTTGGGGGACCTTCCTTAGACCTATGGAAAGTCTTATAAGTTGGCTCGGCCTAATACAGAGGTGAGGAGAAACTCGTGGATGTGGCACCAGAGGACTATGCTGGGCCTGATGGAAGTGTCTCTGCATTTTTATTCTGCTGTTTAATCAAGGAACGGTGTGTCTGAAGTTGGAGAATGTAGATCAGGAGGGAAGTTGCCCTGTTTTCTCTCTCACCTCTATATCCCATGTCCTTCTCATGCCTGCTTCTGGCATTCCTGCTCCTGGTGAGGCTTTGTGGCTCCCTGATCCTGTCACACGTGCCTCTGCCTGGGCCATTTCACCCCAGGTGGAGCATTTAAGTGGAAGCTCCGTTGTTCACCCCGTGTGCTGCCTGGGAGCAGCTGGGGAGTAATAAAGCCTAATTGCCATCCTTGCACTCAAAAGCCACATTACACTAATGTAGTTTTATCTCCACTACTCGTGCGGTTTGGAGCAGTTAATTTAAAACTGTGTGCTTTACCTGCCGTGCAAACACAAAATCCATTAATTTCTCTGGTCATGGGTTCCCCTGGGAGGGTGCTTGGGAGCTGTTTCCCTGTTTGGGCAGATGTGCAGTCCCAGCTGTGTCCCTGGATGTGCAGCTGAGGATTACAGCCAGTACTCTTGTTTGGCTTCTAATTTGACTGAATTGTCAAAGCTGCTTATAAAGCTTTAATACATCCCCTGCCCTGGAGAAATGCTCCTTTCCCAGTTTTGCAGAGCAGGAATGGTGCAAGATAACTTTTGGCCAAGGGTACCTGGAATGCTGTGTCACTCTAGGGAATTAACCCCAGTCTCTGCAGTCCAGCATTAATGAATAAACCTTAGAGTGACCCAGAGCACTTTTGGCTGAAAGATGTTTCTAGTTTAGAGACATCAAAGGTCTGCAGAAGTAATTGTGCAGGCAATGTTGTGTTAAACTTGAAATTGGTATGAGTCTGCAGAGCACAGCTGGTGATCTAGATGGTTATGGTTACATCTATATATATATAGATATATATATACACACTCCCCATAGATGAGATAAATTATTTAGCAAAGCAGTCAGTCTCAGTAGTAATAGCAGATAATTTTGACATAGTTTCAAGAAATGAGTGGGTTTTGATATGGAGGCAGATCTGGTACAGAAGCCAGCTCTCTGTAAATCTTTCACGGCTGTTGGAGTTCAAACACTGAGAGCCAAATCCAGACCCAAGTGAGTAAGTTGCCTGGATGCTAATGGGGTTGCAGTTTGGTCCTGCTGCATGTTTAGGCAGGGCATTTCCTCTTGTTATTTCTAAAGGAAACAGACTTTGTTCTCCCGGAAATCCTTTGCTTGCTTTTCGCCTTCCCTGGTAAAAACAAGATGAGCGTCGAGACGCTCAGCTGGGAAATGGAAAAGAGAAAATCCACTCATCTCTTGATAGGCTTTTTATATCCTACTTCTGAGAAGTAGTATATAGTAATGCCCCTTTCCCAAAGGCTGAAGTGCTGTAAAGCTCCTTCTGCCCTGCCCTCTGAAGCCAGCACAGGGCTGTAATAGTAGTACTGGTACATCCAGGGGCTGTCGCATGTGGTGTTAGTGATGGCAGTGAGCACCTTCTGGTTTAGAGGCAATATCCCAAATACTGGAGGTAGGCAGCCCCTCTGGATTGGCAGGTGGACATGCTGGATGGATGGGGGTGCACAGAAGAAGCTCTGTATGGTCTGTGCCCAGAGATTTTTTGCAGGGAGTCTGGCTCCTCTACCCAAAACCCTTATGCAGCTCAGGTGCTCACCTCTCGTTCAGCTAATCAGAAAGTGGTCCACAGCTAGGTTTCAAAAACCTAGAATATTGCTATCTTGATTTAATCAAACCCCCAAACTAATTTCCTCCTGGCATGAAGAGACCTGGGCCAAAACAGACTCCCGGGTTAATTGATTTCTCTTTTTATTGTTGCCTGTTGGGGGTGGCTGCTTGGCTGCTGTTCAGCTGGGATGGAGCTGGAATGCATCTGTGGCTTAGAAAGACTTGGGGCAGGTTGTGAGTGTCCTGCCCTGATGTGGAATGGGACTGCGGTGGCAGGGACAGGGAGGGGACATCTTTATCCCTTCCGTGCCACCGAGATCCAGGGAGGTGAACGCTGTTAACCTACTTGTTTTGTTTAACAGCTGCTTGGGTTTTTTTGAGTTGGAAGTAATTTCCAGGAAATGTGTGCTCAGATGGTGAGCACAGATGCCCAGTTGGAAGGACATGTGTGAAGCAGCCAGAGCTATGAAGGGTCTGGGATAAGACACGTCTGCAGTTGCTGTTCGACATAAGAAAGGAAGTAGCTGATGTCACGGGCTGTAATGTCCCAATTGACTTTGTTTTCTACTTCCTGTCCTTCTTACTGGCCTCAAAGGTGTTTTTTTCCAGTAGATGTCACATTCCTGATCCACTTCTGTCTCCATTTTCTGCACTTAGTTTTGGAGGGACAAAGCAGTACCTTATTTTCAGAACGAACCACAAGTGTCCACAGCATTTTGTGTGAGTGGAAATGAGGGCTGTTAGTTTGAATAGTTGGCCCCATCTTTCCTGGGAGTCTTGCTGTCACTAAAACCTGCTTGAGCTTCTGGAAACTTCCTCTCTTACACAGCCCTTCAGGCACCCTGCTCAGAGGCCAATATGGTTTTGTTGGAAATAAGAAAGTTCAAGGTTTTGAGGAGTGCTGGGCTGCTATGGGCTTTGAATCTGATGGCAATGCTTATAAATAGTATAAAGCTCTATAGGGGAAAAAACAATAAATCTGTGGTGCAGGACCTACCTGCAGCAAAGCCAGAAATTCAGGTGCACCCGTGGTTGCTTGTGCCTTGTCCTCCCTTTACCTGCCTCGAGGCCTTGTGGGGAGAAGATGTGAGGAGAAGAGCTCCACTTTTAGCCCAGCATGGGATAGCTATTTCCATTTCTCAGAGCGTGAATGGGGATCTTCTGCATATGGATAGAGCCAAGCCTTTAACCTTCCTTCTTGTCCCCCACAGGGACCCTGAAGGGGAATTGCATCCAATTTGCGCAAGCTGTGCATCAAACACTCTTTGTCGTGCTCGCTCTAATTCCCCTTTCTTGCCTTTGCAGGTTTTGTTGCCAGCTGCTAGTTTATTGCAGCTGATGGATGTCAGGAAAAACTGCTGTGACTTCCTTCAATCCCAGCTGCATCCCACGAACTGCCTGGGCATCCGAGCCTTTGCCGACGTGCACGCCTGCTCTGAGCTGCTGCAGCAGGCCAACGCCTACGCAGGTGAGGGAGGGGAGCCCTTCTCTGGGGTCAGACCCTCTCCCAGGGGCACAACTTGTGTAGTCTGAGCGAGATCTACACGTCCTGGTTGGTCACTTCATACTTCTGGTGTTAGAACAGGGAAGGGAATGCTTTTGTTGGGTTCTAGACCGGTAACTTCCCGTCACGCCGCGAGTCGTGAAATGTGGTTTGGTCATGGGGGAGCTCCCTGTGAGGTAAAAAAACCTGATCCTGTGGATCTCAACCCACAGAGTAGCTCCTGAGTGTGATCCCAGCAAGCTCTTTGTGTGCCTGTTCAACAGCTTAGCGTTGGCACACTGGCATCCTCCCCATGGACCCTGCCCTGTGGGAGCAGAAGGGGATTTCCATTCTAGGAATAAATGGAACTAGGCAAAATTAAATCTGGTGGGTGGGAGTGGGAACACTCTGCTAAAACTGCCAGGCAGTCTGAGGCTCCGATCTGTGCAGCAATGGGCACTTACCCCAAGGGTGGATAGGCTCATGTTTCCTGGAGAGTGGATGTGTTTGGTTGCAGGCAAAGGCTCCCAGCATTTCTTCTCTACACTGTAAATGTAAAGCTGTTTCAGGCAGCCCCAAGCCCTGAACTCCCCAGTACTTTCCAGTCTCCTCTGGCAGAGCTGCCCTTGACCTCTGCTCGGGAGAAGCTGGTGGTTTTCTCTACTCAGTTTGTTTTGCTGCTTTTCTGGTCATTTGTATGGGGATAAATACACCTGCTGTCTCCCAGGGCACCTGCTCTGTCCTGCAAAATTTTCCTTGTCAACGATTTTGTCCTTAATTGGACCATAAGTAGGCTCAGTGGAATAAAAATGTGCCCACCGAGTCCTCCCCTATTCTCCTGCAAATAAAAGTAAAACCTTTTCAGCTGCTCTGGCTGTATTATCCCCTGGAGGAAAAGGTACCCTGGAAGGAATGGTTAATTGTATAAAAGCTTGCTTGTAATATCTCATTATCCTTGCTTCCAGGCCCTGTTTAATCTTTAACCCAACAAGCAGTGCATTCACTGTATATTTATTTGGTTGTTTGGCAATTAGAAAGTCTGCTTTGTTGTTTTATTGGCCTTCACAAGTCCCAGTTAGTACAGAAGTCCATGTAATGTTAATGGAACTCCATTAATAAAAATGCTATTAAAATTCTTTTCACTATGTTGTTTATGTAACAGCCTTAAAGCAAGACAGAAGGTCCCCAAACTCAAGACTCCATGTCTGCACGAGCTCAGTTACTTGAGAAATGCTTAATTCTGGCCAGTGGATCACTTCAGTAGGTGGAGGAGCCTTCTTGATGCAGGCACCAGTTACTTTATTAAAATCAGTAAATATTCTTACTTGCTTGCAACTAATAACAAGAGATCAAATATATTTCTACTGCCAGATGCAAGTCCAGAATGAATGACTGTGAGATTTTGTCCAGAAGTCAGAGTGCATCCAGCTGACTGTGCGGGGAGTGTTTCCTGCCTCTCAAGTATTTAAGGCCAGAAGAGTTCATTAGATCTTATATATACTTCCAGCATAACAGAGTATTAAATTTTATCCACATACTGCTATTTTTAGTCAGAGGCTTTGGCTTAGCTGTGGGGTTTTGGTGCCCATTGCACCAAGTAGGGTCCGTGACTGGGGAAGTCCCAAGTCCAGAGTCCAGCTCTGCAGCACCAGCTTTGGTGAGGGGTCATTCAGGTGCCATCTCCAGAGAGCTCCTCTCTAGAAGATACACCAGCTCATGTCCCTGTGGTGCTGCTTTTTGACAGGCAAAGCACTTTGCAGATGTGAGAACTCGAGGCAGATCTTGCTGCGGAGGGAGATTTTTGGATACGTGAGTCTGAACTTATCAAAGCTGGAGGATTAGAGCTTGAAAAAAGCTGCTGCAGATAAAATGTCTGAGCTTCATGTTTCTGTATTTCAGCCAAAGATAAATGGGACTTAGAAATGGCAGGTGAGATTAAATTGGCAGTATGTGTAAGAAATGCTTGCAAAACTAAAATTGTCTGCAACTGGCTAATGACACAGTTGGCCTAGAAATTATTTTTTAGGAAGTAATTCTTTCCTGTGCCTTTTGGCTCAATATAGAGCTTGACAGATTTGATGATCCTCAGTCATAATTCTTCCAGTTTGGGATTATAATCAGTGACATTCATTTTGTTTTCAAGTGGCTACCAGAGTTACAGCATGGAGGGATCTGGAGGGAGAAGAGGGAGATAGAGGAACTTGTAGAGTTGTGGGCTGAAGTGGAAAGGGGAAAAGCTACTGGGGAAGGTGGGTGCTGGGGGGTTGGAGCAAGAGAAAGGGTACATTTACACATTTAGGGGAAAGAAGTAAAAGGTGGAAGGAGAGGAGAGCTGATCCCATGGGAGTGCATGGGATGAAGATACCCCTTGCCCATCTCTCCGTGTAGCCCTTGCACACACAGATTCAGCTCCATGCCCTGGGATTCCTCAGTATTGGCTGCTGACCATATGCCCCAAACTGATTCATGTTAAAGCTGGGCTTCCTTGGAATATGTGCAAATACCCAAGACCCTTGTGGAGTCTCTCACCCAGGTGCTGAGCAGATCTGGTGCTGTCTAACTTGTTGAAGTGGGCGAGAACTGAATCTCGGGGTGGCCAGATAATTTACTGCCTTAGAAAGGCACTTGCACTTGTCTCAGCTGCCACTTCTAATCTTATTTGCCACTGGAAGACTCTTAATGGCTTTTCAGAAACTTTGGTGTCATTTATGAAGTTGTCTCCTGGGGCTCCTGCTACTTGAAATAACATGAGATTTCTCTCTGCAGCTCTCTCTCTGGTTTCTGTCTGTGTTCCCCCACGCAGCCACAGTGGGTTTGTCTCAGGTGCCCAGAGCTGTAATAAGAGCAGTTCTCTCAATGCTGTAGTCCTTCCATTGACTAAAAACATGGATTTCATTATAATTTTCTGTTCCCTCTTTTCATTTGTTGAACAGAGCAGCACTTCCCCGAGGTGATGCTAGGAGAAGAATTTCTTAGCCTTAGTCTGGACCAGGTTTGCAGTTTAATATCAAGTGACAAGCTCACAGTCTCCTCTGAAGAAAAGGTACAGTAAATTGCATAGCAAGAGTGAATGTAAGAATGCTGGAATGTTTCTAGATCTTACACCAGGAATGTTCTCATGATATGCTCTTTAGGGGCCATTCTGCAACAGAGATCATGTGGAAAGGAAAATTAAAATAATGCAAATCCTAAAAACACATAAAAATGACCTTCACTTGGTTGTTCTTTGAAGGAAGTAATGATTCTCAGATCTATATCACTTCCAAAGGCCCTGGGGGTCAGAACAAAATACCTTCCCTCCCTGGAAAACTAGAAAACTCCCATATGCTGTTGTGTAAAGCACTCATTACCTGCTGCAAAACCTGAGAAAAGGTGAATTTCATTAAGCCAGAGAGGAGTATTGGCTTCTGTTGCATGTTGGGTGGAACAACAAAAGGAGATCTGCAACTAAAAGGAAGGAAGGAAACATTTTTCTAACATCATCAGTGTTTTTAATGGAAGAGGGGAGAAAAAGGCACTGGTTGATACTGTTTTGTGGTTGAAACGTTCAGCACATCTTGTATAGTCTGGAGTCCTGGGGAGGAGGGTGACTAAAGGTTTTAGTGCTTGGTGAGCTCCAGATCCAGCCTTTCTCTGGTGTGAGCTTCTTGTATGGCCTGCTGCAGGTTTCTGGGGACAGGTATGTGCCCTGAGTCCTTCAGCTCACCCCAGAATTGTCACTATGGGGAGGTTGTAGAACCACAGAGTCATTAAGGTTAAAAAAGGCCTTTAAGACCGTTGAGTCCAACCACTAACCCAGCACTGCCAGGTCCACCACTCAACCATGTCCTTAGATGTAAATGGTCACTCATGAGAGGCCACAGGAGAGCTTGAGGATGATGTGGTTTGTAACTTCAGGACCCTTGTTTGGGTGGGACGAGGCCGGACCTGGGTGTGTTGGTGCTGCTGCTCAGGCTGCACATCCAGGCGTGTGCTCTCCTCCTGCTGATCCCCTCTGGGCTGCAAACACAGGGGTGCTGGGGCACACAGGGGTGGTAAAACTTCCCAGAAAACCTGCACCACGTGAGGTGGGGGCACGGGGATGCTCCGTTCAGATGCTGAGCCTGCAAACTCAGAGGCTTTGGGCATGTTTCTGCAGGCGGGGGTGGCTCTGTGGGGTGCTCAGAGGTGACACACAGGCAGGGCCAGAGAGGGGGGAAACCAACGGCACCAACTCACAGCAGAAAGGCTCTGCATGAGCCCAGCAGCCTGCAAAGGGAAGTGCAAGTTTAGTAACCAATTTTTTCCAGTCCTGTGCAGCATTGTTAAAAAGCTTTTATTGGCCTTGTGCCCAGAGGAATCAAAAGTGCTCCCTCTCCCTCATCTGAGCTTTGTACAATCAAACCCAGTATTTCTTTGGCTGATTGTAAAAGTTGAGGACGCAGGGCAGTGGAAAGAAATGTAAGCATAAGCTGTACGTTCAAAACAACAGATCAGAATAACAGGAGAGAGGCAGAAAATGGGAATGGAACATAAACATGAAATGTTCTGGAGTCCAAAGAAGTGCTGGAAATTGAGGACAGGCTCGTAGGCTGCTGTTCCACGTTAACTTTATGACAGACAAGCCATTTTCCTCACCTTTATTCTTCCTATTTGCTAATGCTTGAGATATATATTATAAAAAAAATACATAAAAGTATATGCAAGTGTGTGTGTATGCCAGTCTGTACATACACATATGTATCTATGTGCACAGGTGATGGAGAGAGAACTACTTGGAAGCAACAAGGTGTTTTTTAAGTAGGCAAATAGTTCAAACGTCTGAGATCTGAATTGTCACAGCCAGATTTCACAAGAGGTTTTCCTGTTCCTGTTCTCACTGTGTCTCATACATGGGCTGCAACCTGGCATCCAGAGTGTTGCCATCCCTGGGTCACTGGGAAGTGTTAGAGCCGAGTCCTGCCAGGACCAGGGAGGGAATGTTGCCCTTGGAATGCCCCAGGGCATGTGTGCTGTGCCCAGGACCTTGTGTGCTCTCCCCTTCCTCTGCCACCCCCCAGCTAATACCAGTTGGCCCAATAAAATATATTTTTGTCTCCACAAATTTGGCTTACTTGTACCCCTAGGCCATCAGGACTACAAAAATTGTCTGCTAGCACAGAAATCTATTTTAATTGCAAAATGGTGAAGAATTTCCCCATCATTCAAATATTCTCCTCCTTCCTTTCCTCTCCCCCTTGTGGTACCAGCCTCTGCACTTGTACAGGCCTTTTCAGCACAGGGCAAAGGTTTATTTTGGTCCCTACCTGCTCTTTTTGATATAGCTGAGTACTTGGAAGACAGTTTTATTAATGTTTTCTAATTGGCTCTTTAATTATGACACCGTTTGCAAGCTAAAAAATCCCTATAAAACCCATGTTTATTTGCATTTACTAAAGATGTGTGAAATGGAGGGGCTTTCAGCCCTTGAGAACAGGCTCCTGCCAGCTCACAGCAGTGGCATAAGAAATTTTTAAAAGGGTTGTGACTTTTGGATTGTGGATTCTACACAGAGTGCAGTAACTGACTCTGTGTCATGTTGCTGACATGCAGCAGAAGCTGATGCAGGGTCTGACTCCTGGGAGTCTCTAATAACTGGATTTTTGGCTGAAGAGGCTGGGAAAACATCTGGGCTGGCTCTTTCCGTAGGTGGTGTGCGGAGAGGGGATATTCCAGGCTTTTACCCCTCTGTTCCACAGAGTTGGAAATTTACTTCTCCCAGGTTTGGTACAGCTCCTACAGCCAGGCAGGTGCCAGCTGCTACCTCAGCTCCAAATCCAGCTGTGTGGGTAAAACTGCTTTGGTCCATCCCACCCTGGCAGCAGGATCCTGGCTCCTGGGGGAGCAGCAGCAGCAGCTGCTCGGGGTCTGCAGCGAGCACGGCACGTGGAGGGAGGGCACAGCAGTGATGGAAACAGATGTGGCCTTTAAATAGAGATATTGCTGTCTTGGATAAAGTGTTTTTTTCCCCCTTCTCATAAAATTAGGAGTCAGAGCCAACGGAAGGTGCCAGAATCTGATTTTTTTTAAAAATGCTGTTATTTTTAGAGTAGGCACAGCAGGGAAGCAGTGGTGTTTGCCTGACTCAGGAGTGGTCTCCAGTTTATTCCTGGTGACATTTACCTCACCTTCCTTTAGACTTGTTCAGTGTCATCTTGTCCAGATGGGCTGTCCCAGCCCTATGACCTGTTCTGTAGCTCAGCCTTAGTGCAGAAGAGGTTAATGAAAAGCCTGTGTGTCGGCTAAACATTTGCTTTATCCTCCTTCCACAGTCATTTGCAATTAAAAAGATCTCACAACAACCCAGTTTCTACTTTAAAGGCCTCATAGCCGAAGTTAAATTGCTTGTTTGCTTATTTATTTTAATTTTAAAATGCTTAAAGGCTCTGCAGTAGTTATTCTCCTCAGCATTTGCTGGGGTTTGATTACACGGCTCCCTGTTGTGTTGCTTAAATCCTCATCGAAGTGTCCTGAATTCCAAACAGTTCAGCAGGAGCTTTGTTGGCACAGGAAATGAGGCTGGTGCTTTACTGCTCTTTAAAAGTATATGGTTTAGCCCAAGAGGATGAAACCCCTTTCTGCTCTGCCTCTTCTTCGTGGGGAGGATGTGTCTGCCAGGACCTCCTGTTTGCCAGCAACAATAGGGGGCTGAGAGATGGTGCCCTCAGTTCTGGTTGATTTAGTCAAATTAGTGACCTTGGACCAAACAAAATGGTTTCTTGGGAAGTGGTGGGAGGGATGGAAAGAAAGAAAAAAATTATCTGTGCAAATTGGCCTGACCAGTTGGTGACCCCGGAGGGAAGCTGAAACCAAGGGCACTTGTCCAGTGTGCTGGGACAAAGGGCCAGTGATGCTTTTTTGGGGAAAAAAAGATAGGGTCTGTGGGAAGGAGCTCTGCTCAGCCCCCTGGGCAGTGAGAGCACTTGGGGAATGTTGTCTGTAGATCTGGGTTACGGATCAGAATTTAATTCTGCCTCTGTGGGGAAACTCCACTGCAGTGATCCAGATCCTGCTGTGCAGCATCTGAGACTGCACCAGCCCCTCTCCCTGCCTTGCTGGGTTGTTCAGAGAGCCTTCCCCACTCCTGATGACATTTTTAGGCCTTTCTTCTGCGAGTGAGGCTCACAGTTACATAAGCACATGCATATTCATACCGGAGCCCACATAGGACGCTTCTGCCTGTGCATCGCAGGGCTCTGCTGGCGCCTGCCCATGGGCTGTTTGTGAGCACTTGGTCACGGAGCCCAGGTCTGGATGCTTATCTGAACCAGCTGGATCTGGAAGTACAACTAGAATTTGGTTCAGACCAGAAGCCCAGCGTGCTCTTGTTTTCCAGCTGGAGTATCTGAGTATTTTTAGCAGTGAAGTGCACGCGGTGCAAGAGCCTCCGTGGCTGCAGGCAGGGCTTGTCCTGGGTGTGTGGGGAACTTGTCCTCAAGAATTCTTGGTTTCTGGGGTGGAACTGGTGCAGTGATTAAATATGAGTGTAGTGACTTACTGCGTGGCCAGGCTCCTTGGGGAGGGAGATCTCTGTTATCGGGAGTAATTGTTGTGGCTGATTTCATGAATAATGTCCAGTGCAAATGTCAGCAGGCTCATTAAGCTTCCTGGCTGCCTTCCAGTCCTAATGTCCAAGAGGTATATGATTGTCCTGGACATGCACTTAGCTTTGGGAGTGATACAGCACATCTAGATGGGAAGTTGCTTGTTAATATGCATGGTCAGCTCAGCTCTTTGCTACGGTGGTGCTTGTGCTCTGTGCATAGTCACGACTCTTTCATCCGTTTTTGACAGAGATCTTGCACCTCCTTCCTTCCACACTGTAAAATCACAATGCTTCTGATTTTGGGTAGGTGACTGTGCAAGCCAGTTCTCTCTTCCCCATTTAATTGTACTTTATCTGTATAGGTGTTTGAAGCAGTTATCTCTTGGATAAATTATGAGAAGGAATCTCGCCTGGAGCACATGGCTAAACTGATGGAGCATGTTCGCCTGCCCCTTTTGCCCAGAGATTACCTGGTACAGGTTAGTCTGCAAATAAGTCCTCAGTAATTGCACTTAAGCTGCTGGTAGCTCCTTAATCAATGGCTTGGCTGTTTGTGTCTGAGATGGGTAATTTGGTGTGTTGCTGAGTCTGTAAACAGAGGAATAAAAGCAAAAACTGAGTGGACTCTGAAATCAATGCTCTCAGTCAGAAACCTTCTTGTAAATGCTTCTGGGGGAAGCATTGAGCAGTTACTATCTTGTGATTTTTCACCCCAAAAATACACAGGTGGTGGCATTACAGGCTTGTGCAGTTTTTTTTCCCCTCATGCACAGGTAAATTTGGCTTCACGTGTGATAATGTTGGCTAAAGATGTGTTCTGCACAAAGATATGGGTCTGTGTGACTGGCAGGTGAGGTGCTCTCTGACTTAGTCTGACTTGGAGATTGTTCTTCCTAAATTAATTCCTGGGATCTGGGCCTTGATAATGAGCTGAGAATCCCCAAAGAAGGAGTTGGCATGTGGGCCCTTTGACTACTGTGCTTTTATGATGTGTCTAAAAAAATCAATACAATTGGCATTCACAAGATGAACCCATCTTGTGCTTTTTTTTTTCTCTCAGCTGTATCTTCTGATGGAATAAGAAATCCATCTCCTTAAAAATTCTGACTCAGATAAAAGAAATTACTTATTTTGTGCCCAGACTCCTGGTGAATTCTCCTCTGCTGAGTTAAGTGTCTGTCAGAGAGCGATAAAAAGCTCACTCTTTGTGAGTGGTCTTGGAAAACAGGGAGAAGCTTGGATGTTTTTCTTTGGGAAGAGCTGTCAGTCTATGTTTGGCTTCTGCATTTTTTTTTTAAATGTTGATACTTTGGAAGGGAAGTTCCAGGTTTCATGTCCTTTCCACAAAGCTCCTTGTGACCTGTGCCACCCAAGTGCTGGAGTTTAAATGATCTTTTGTGTGTGTGCGTGTTCTCAGACAGTCGAAGAAGAAGCTTTAATCAAGAATAACAACACCTGTAAAGACTTCCTTATCGAGGCCATGAAATACCATTTGCTTCCTCTGGATCAAAGGCAACTGATAAAGAACCCCAGAACAAAGCCCAGGACTCCTGTTAGCTTGCCAAAGGTAAGCAGAGCTCGTCACTTCGTGTCACCTCACTCAGCTTTACAGGTGGCATTTTCTGTCTTTGACAGGAGCTCGAGAGCTTGCTGTGTGTGCTACATCTTCCTAACTCCATGATCGTGCTTTGAAGTGTTTTACTCCCTCTTCTGGCATTGCCTGTGCCCAGCAAGGACACGTAATTAAGTTGGTTAAACGTAGCTGAATCGTTAGGGGAAGCAGTATCTCTGCTGCTGGAGAATTTTGTCGGCCACAAGTGGTTTTGTGACTCACTGACCCGTGGAGAGGCTGCAGGCTGGGAGGGCTGGCTGAGGTGTTGAGGGTCACAGTAGGTGTCTTTTTGTTTCCTGTATCCATAGTCAGGAACCAAGAAATCAGGAAACAACAGCACCCAGCCCCGTGGGCAGGAAGTCTGAAGCGAATTTCAATAGACTCAAAGCAGCAACTGAATAAATAATCCTTGTTGCTCCCCTGTTTATCCTGCAGGCGTGTGATGCTCTGGCCACCACTTTATTAGTGAAGAAAAAAAAAACGCCACAGAAACTATTTTCCCTGTGCCCCAGAGATAAACACAGTTTGGCACAGTGTCTCTCAACAGACTGTCACTGGAGTTGTTCATAAGCATTTTGGAGATTCTAAGGCAGCAGAACCACAGTGTGTAATTTTTCTAAGCACAAATGGTGCGGGGGCTGGTTTGTGGGATGGTGTATGAGATCTGTGCTGTTTGTGATGTTTAGGTATTGGGCTTTCCATTGAGAAATTGTGGTTCTGCTCTATGTGTCAGCGTGTTGTGTCCTTTCTGCTATCACTGAGATGAAGTTGGTAGAACACAGCTTTGGGGGTGTCATGAAGGGCTGACATGTCCCTTGTTCAAGGATTAAAGTAGTGAGGGATAAAAGGAACAGCGAACCAGCGAGTTCAGAGGTTCTCAACAGCCTCTATAGTATGACCTGTGAGCACAAACCCAAATCCTCTGCAGGTCTCTCCTCCCTTCTTTTGAACTGTGGAGAAAGGGAAGAAGGTGATGATCTTTCAGCAATCCTTTTACTGAGAAACTTTCATCTGCCCTGTTGGTCCTGCTGATGAGGGATTATCGTCTGCCACGAAATCTCTTAATTCTGTAATCGTGTGAAGCTCTGCAGCTTTCCATGGGAGACTGTTACACAACTGGTAGTCAGGCTGTTAATTTAGACTCAATTTGCTTTCTAATGTCACGTTCTCATCTTTGTAGATCAAACAGGCTACTATTTTCATACTCTTCAAATTCTTTAAATCGCTGTTCTGCTTTTAAAGGAACCCTGCTTGGAGTTGAGCTTGTTACCCCAGTGACCTCAAGTGACGATCTTATCCCTTCAGCTACTCCCAGCTGCCTTGCAGAGGCTAAAACCAGTTTCCCATCTACTCTTTGTCTATATTTGAAGCCCTGTTATCTTGTTTCTAGCTCCTTGGCCTTGTAAAAATCAGATTGTTTGGGTAGTGTTTGCTCCTGCTGATTTGCTGTGATAAGGGAGCAAATCCTCCCTGGATAGCCCTGGAGGGTTGAAGGTGTGCAGGTGTTTTGGGGGCTGCCTGTGCAGGTGCTGGTTTGCAGTGCCCAGCTGGGGCTCAGCAGCAATGCACACTGGAGGGATGAGCTGCAGGCTCCTGAACCCATGGGAGGTTTGTCTTCTGGCAGCAGACACAGCAGATTTGGGAAGAAACACACTGTGTGCTCTCCAGGTCTTCTGGCCTTCTCACTTTTTCACCAGTGTCCCACTTGTTATTGCTGGGGGTGGAGCCCGGGGCTGGATGAACCCTGAGCCTGACTCAGCAGAGCGGTTCTTGAATTCCTGAGATTGCCCTTGATCACCTTCACACAGCTCTCCCCTATCTGTGAGGAATTTAGGGTTTAATTCCTGAATTTGCATCAATACCTGTGGCAGACAAAAGCCTTAATGGAGCTGACAAATCACTTCCTTCAGCAGCTGAGCACCCCAGGTGGTCACAGTGCTGGTGATTTCCCCAAGTGTAGCTTTCCCCACAGGTGGCAACACAGCTGTCAGGTTTTATTTGCTCAGTGGCATTGATTATTTTTAGCACCACCAGGGAGATAATGACTAAACAGTGGGCTGGCAGTGGAAAAATTATGCTGGAATCTTCTTCACTTAAAAATACTTTTACAGTGAGTCTTTTCATATGCTGTGGGGCCAAAAGGTTTTGTATTTCAAGGGGAAATTGGGCAGGTTGCCCACCTTGGGCATGGTAAATGGGGCAGCCATATTTAGCGTGCATTAAATTGGAGTTAAATTTTTCCCCCTTGAAATAGAATTGACTGAAATAAGTGTTGCTGCAGAGGCTTCTAGTTGCCCCATGCTTTTTGTGAGCTGCTTTTGACCAGGTTGTGGTGATGGTTTCTCTGCAGGGAGCAGCTGCTCAGGGTTATGTCTGAGGTTTTCTACCTCTTGTCTTCCCTCCCCAGGTGATGATCGTGGTGGGTGGGCAGGCCCCCAAAGCCATTCGCAGTGTGGAGTGCTATGATTTCGAGGAGGAGCGCTGGGATCAGGTTGCTGAGCTTCCCTCACGGAGATGCCGAGCAGGTAATGGGACCTTTTGCTGCCACCTTCTTTGTTTTCCTCATGCAGCTCTTTAGCACTGGATGAATGGCCTCAGCCATTCCTTCAGCCTTCCTTTGTGCCCCTGGCCTCAAATAGCTCTTTCTTTTTGCCATTTCTTTCCCTACAGATGTTTTTCCCTTCTTGCTCAGGTGAATGAACCCCTCTCTAGAGGGGTTGATCCTGCCTGCCCGCCTTCCGTAGCCACTGTCTCCCCTTCATCATCTCTCTTTCCTGGCTGCTCCTCCATCAGTGTTTCCTTTCCTCCTCCCATCCCACTGGCTTGGCAGCCCGCAGGGATCCAGTTTGCCTTGCTGGTATCCTAGTGAAAATCCAAGGAGCTGAGTCAGCCCCTCTTGGTGCCGAGGAGTGGGTGATGGAGAGCAGATCTTCAAGTTGGGTGCGTTCCTCTGCAAACATCTGACAGAGTGTGGATCGCCATTTGGTGTTCCCTCTGGCTCACAAAATTACTCATTCAGGTGTGAAATCCATCTGTGCCTTATGCAGCCATGGTTTGATGTGCATTTCCCCTCCCATGTGACTCGTGTGTTTTATCACACTCGGCTCCAACGCCCTTAACCCGCGGAAAACGCCAAAGCCGTGCCCACGTTCTCCCGGCTGTGTCCCACACCCTGGCAGGGCGCCTGCTCCCAAAACTGTTTGTAAAACCCCCTGTGAAACCTCTCTCCTCTCTTGTCAGGGGTGGTGTTCATGGCTGGCAACGTTTACGCCGTCGGGGGCTTTAACGGGTCGCTGCGGGTGCGGACGGTGGACGTGTACGACGGCGTGAAGGACCAGTGGACGTCCATAGCCAGCATGCAGGAGAGACGGAGCACCCTGGGGGCAGCCGTGCTCAATGACCTCCTGTACGCAGTGGGAGGCTTTGATGGCAGCACTGGTAGGTGGCTGAGCAAAAACCAGGCAGTGCCTGACCTGAAAAAAAACCCACGTTTGCAGAGGCCCCGCAAAGATTGCGGAGCTTTAGTGAGGTTCCTGTGCCCTTCCTGTGGGATTTTGTAGGGGAAGAGCCAGAAATGGGGTTTGCTGCGTGTTGTAACCAACCACATGCATGCTCTGAGCCATCAGCAATTGCAGAGCATCTCACCCTAGTTGTTTTCTTCAGTGATACAGTTCTTTCAGTCTCGTTCTCTGTATGAATACACTTTTTCTGGACTGAAAAGGGATTTTTCCTTGTTTCAGTGAAATTTTTCATAGCGGCATGAATAAAATACCAGCAAGGCACGTTACAGGGTGTGTGCGCCTGGGATTTGTCTTGGCACAACTGCATGTTTAGATTCACACCTCTGCCTCTGCTGTAAAGCTTTGCCACTTGGTTAAGCCCTGAAGTATTTCAGCTGGTGATGAGTACAGTGCAGCAGGGTCTGGGGGAGTTTTTAAACCTCTACATGGACATTTTGTAAAGCTTGAAAGGATGTGGGGCTTTGGGGCTTGGAATCCAGACTCTGCTCCACCTCAGTGTTCCCAGCACACTGGAGAGGCAGCAGTCCCAGGGCAGGGGTGATGGGGTGATATTTTTCCAGCTGCTGAAGAAGTGGCATTGACATGCTGGTCCCAGCCCCTGAAAGGCAAGGGATTAGGAAATGGGATTGCAGGAGCGTGGTGGGAATTACGGGCTTGGGAGGAGGCGGAAGGCAGATGAAAGTGCAACACCAATCTTTTTTTCTTCTCTTTTTTTTTAATTAGAAAACCTGTGTATCCCCTTTTTAACTAGGTCTGGCATCAGTTGAGGCCTATAGCTATAAAACCAATGAGTGGTTTTTTGTGGCTCCCATGAACACAAGAAGAAGCAGTGTTGGAGTTGGAGTTGTGGAGGGTAAGAAAATCAGCAGCCATTTCCATCAAGCAAATGTTCCTGTGTCAAATAGAAGCCTGAATGGTTAAGTGCAGTAGGAGGGAACTGCAAGAGCTGTTCCCTTGACTAGTTGGGAAAGATTGATTTTATATGGTGTAATTGCTGCAGCTTTTTCCATTCTCCTCTTTATCTTAGTGAAAAATCATGTGTAGCCTTCCAAGAGCCTCAGACCAGCCCATGCCTCCTGTGAATGCCATTAGGTGTGTGCAGGTTTCTTGGAACCTTATTGTCCCTGGGCTGCCTCTGGCTGGTGAGAGCCGGTGCTGCTGTGCAGCGGGTGCCGCTGCTCCCGGCGCGGATGGAATTCCCATCACGGAAAATCTGCTCAGAAACAGGCACACAGTTTGTCCCACAGCCCCGAGCTGGTGGGTTGGCAGGAATACTAAAAGCTGTGTTTGTTGACATGGGGCAGGGCACGCTGTGCTCTGGTTCTCACACGAGCAGGGACTGGCAGCAGCACAGGCTGGTGCGGTGGCAGCTCGGAGCCAGGCGGGAGCGGAGGGAGCTGGGGAGGAGGGTGGCAGCTGCTGGCACCTCTGTGTCAGCACCACACTCGAGGGAGCTGGAACTGAGCAGCTTGGTTTGGATCCAGGAGAAGGAGCAGTTTAAGTAGGAACCATTTCTTCCTTTACGAAATCTGTTCTGAAGCAAGTGTAAGGTTTTATTTGACGTCGCCTTTAGCAGGTTGCAGCAGTTTCCAGTTAGTGCAGAGCAGAGCAGCCACTGGCACAAGCACTGTTACAAACCATGCTTTGCAGTGGTTGGGTTTGACCTGTGTGTGTCATATAATACATGGGAATGTGTTTATGAACATGGGAAATACATGGAATGTTTTTATGAACATGAAATGTGTTTAAGTGAGAAGAGAGAAGGAGATAAAAGTCAGAATAAATAGTGGTGATTAACTTAAATTTGCATATTTAAGAACCATCTCCTTCAAAATTGGCCCATGTTTGGGAAGCACTGGGCTGCTGGGGTTTGCTAAAGGGTTTTCAATGCAGAACAAATATTAAGTATGGACCTGAGAGATTAATTTCTACTGGAAGCTTTTCTACTGGAGACTTAGGAAATCCTTTTCCTTTGCTTTGTTTGAAAGTGCAAATAAGTGTTGCATGTGTTGGAGTCCATAATTAAAAAAAAAAAAGAGGGCATGTGATTGAGACAAGAGCTGATCATACTGGTGTAGGGAACAAGCTGCAGCCTTCAGTTAATCCACAGGGTTTGTCTGAATGTGACAAAAATTGACCTGATTTCTGTGGATACTGAAAATACCTAAGAATTGATGCCAACCAGGGAACTTTATCTTGCCTTGCTTGGTCTGGCACTCTTGCCTGATTCATTGACTAACACCAGGTGGGTCGGACCAACAGCACAAATATGTTTACAGAGACAGGAAGATTGAGAAGGAGGCCATGAGTGAACCTGAGGGAGAAAAAAAAAAGCCAACCTGTTCTTGGAGCCTTGCAAACATCCAGAAACAGGAGAAAGCAAAACTGAAGATGATAACTGTTGGAGGGAGTCTTGTGCATGCAAAGAGTTGCACAGCTCATTTGTGGCCAGGCTCTGCTGTTATGGATTGAAAATTGGTCTTATTTCTGCGTTTTGTTCAAAAATTTAGGTTAGAATTTTCCTACATATCTGTTGAGCTTTATTAAGGGTTGGTTGTTGTAGCATCTAAGAGACCTGAACTTGAACCAGAATGCCTTTGTGCTAGCTGCTTCAGTAAGGAGAATCCCTCTCTGCCCAGAGAGTTTACTGCCTAAATGCAAAACAGGCTGATGGATGATACAGGGAGACAAGGAGAGAGTATCAGTCAGGCCCTGGAACAAAGGACATGGTGGAGCATCAGCCTTGTTTCATGTGTGATACAGTCCCAGGATATCTGATTGTGCTCCTCTGGTCTCAGAAAGTCTTTGTTATTCACCTTTCCCTAAGCTGAGGTAGGGAGGGTTGGACAAACTGTGCTGTGAGGGTGTCCTGGGGTATCACACTGTGCTGTGAGGGTGTCCTGAGGTATCACTCTGTGCTGTGAGGGTGTCCTGGGGTATCTCCTGTGGTCTCATCACTTGGCACAAGTGACCAGGCTGGTGTCAGCTGTGCTGGCAGCATTGCTGGGTTTTGATTTGGCCCAAGTTCTCCAAAATCAGGTCTAGGTTTCCTTGCAGGTATTATATTATTATAAGAGGCTATTGCATATTTATTGCTCGTGTGATACTGTAATTAATGTGCAGTGCTGACAGCACACCTTGCCTTGTGGCACCTGAACGGGAGGAAACGCTCCATCAGCAGAACACGCTTTGGTGTCACCTCTTCTCCTGGGCCAACCAGTAATTTGGAAAACCCTCTGGGCTGTTGGCTTCTAATTAAGCTGCTGTGTTGTACCCTTGTCTTAGCTGACAGCTTTACCAGCTTTACAAACAGGTCAGTGAATCTACTCCGGGTTCTCCCCAGACACCCCAGCAGGTTCAGGCACGTCTCCCCTCAGGCAGGATCCTCACCCGGGGCTGTCAGGTGTGATGGGTAACATAAGCCAGTGGTAGCCACGATGCCAATGGGCCTGTGTGTGTGTTCCAGGGAAGCTCTACGCCGTGGGGGGCTACGATGGAGCGTCCCGTCAGTGCCTTAGTACTGTGGAGCAGTACAACCCCGCCACCAACGAATGGACCTACGTTGCTGACATGAGCACCCGGCGCAGCGGGGCAGGTACTGGCTCCCAGAAGTGTCCTAAGGAACAGATGAGCACTCAGTTCTCCTCTGCTCGTGGAAGGGAAGGAAAAAAATGTGGCTGCGCTGGCAAGTGCAACCTGTTATTTGCCCCCCTTCCCATGAGGGGTGAAACCATAATTGGTTGGAAGCCCTCAACAGCTCTCCTGATTTCCACAAAATCTACCAAATTGTGATTAATTTCTGGACGAATGAAATAATGTTCAGTGTCTCTAAGTAGCCCTGCTGACAGATGTGTCTCATTTGTAAGCAAAGAGTTCCCTCCCCAGATCAGCTGGGTCAGCTGAGCACAGGAAAGCCAAGCTACACCTCCCTCTCTTCTATCACTGGGGGGTTGTCGGATGGATTTTCCTTTTGGACCTTCCTGCAAGCATCCAGTGGGGTGCTTTTCAGACCTTTGTATCACTGGGAGATGCGCAGACCAAAATTCATCTCAGATTGCCCCTGCTAAGCTAATTTTTAGTGATCTGGAGGATTAGAGGAAAAGACATATTATGAAAGGATTATATTCTAGTCTTGATGGTTTCTAACTTACTACATGATGTTAGGCTAGGTAGGGACTTTTCTTTGTGACTGTTTCTCTCTGAAAGGGGTGAGAGCTCTTACCCATTGCATTTAAAATCAACCTCATGTGAAAGGGAATTTGTCACTGTTGGTCCCATTGCTCAGTGTGTGCCGTGGGTCCTCCCTGTTGTTGAATTGTGCAGTTACCCAGAGGCAGCCAAGCCTGGAGGCTGCCCTTTGGGGCTGAAATGACCCCGCAGGTTAAGCTGGGGTGGGAGGTTCCCTTTTGAGCTGAGCAGTTTGAGAGGCTGCTCTTTACACCTTGTCTTCCTTTCCTCACTCCAATACCCTTTTGTGACTCCGAGTGAGGCAAATTTGGACATACACTGTTGATTCAGTTGAAAGAAGTTTGTAGCATCTGCTTGATGCTTAAACCTAGCCCAGCACAACCTTACAGGAGAACAGAATGAGCAATCTCATATTGTGTACAGCACGTTGAGACAGCAAAACAGTTTGTGCCTGTAGTGAGATGGATTTTAGTGAATTTTCTCTGTTTGAAGCACTGCTCTGAGAGCTGCTTTGCCAGTATATCCCCATTGGCAACTCCATTGTTAGGAGCACTCGTACTTCCCTGCCAAATTGCTCCGCAGTTTTCTGTTCCCCACCTGAAAGCTGAGCTCCTCGAGCTCTGGGTGTCACCTCCAGCAGGCACTGGGAGGGCACTGCCCGGTGCCCCTGGTCCCCAGCGGTGCTGCAGCACGATCTGCTGCACAGCTCCATCAGTGACACCGTGCTGGCGCTGCCGGCACTGCCGTCCCCGTGCTGACATCTAGTGGGGACGAGGACAGGTGTCCCCAACTCCCTGGGGTGGCCCCAATCCAGGCAGAGGGGCTGTGGGGGTGTGCAGGCACTGTCTGGGTTTAATAGAATCACAGAATTATTTAGATTGGAAAAGATCTTTAAGATCATCGAGTCCGACCATTAACCCGGCACTGCCGTGTTCACTGTTGAACTGTGTCCCAAGTGCCACATCTGCTCATTTTTGGAACGCTTCCAGGGTTTCCTGGGCCACCTTGGGGTTCCCTTTCCCCTCCTAGACTGTGGATCTTGGATAGCCTAACAGCTTCCTGAGAAGGGGCACAGCCCTGCAAGAGGGTTCATCTGCCAGGCATTACTGCCCAGGCTGCTGTGGCGCCGGTGGGTGGGTGGAGAGTTGACTGCGGTTATCTTGAGGCATGTGTGGCCCGTGTTTTGGAAGTGCTTTGGAGAGGCCACATCAAGCCCCCAGGAGGAGAAGCAGGGGGTGTGCAGCCCTCTCCCCTGCAGGTTTGGCTGACACTGGGCTCTCTTGGCAGGTGTGGGTGTTCTCAGCGGGCTCCTCTATGCCACTGGCGGCCACGACGGCCCCCTGGTCAGGAAGAGTGTGGAAGTCTATGACCCAGGGACAAACACCTGGAAGCAAGTAGCAGACATGAACATGTGTAGAAGAAATGCAGGTAACCATGACACACCTTTCTGTGGTGTTTGGTTCAGTTGTCTGTGAGGTTTTTAATGCAGTTAATGTGCTGGTGGTGTTGTGAGTGATAAAAATGGAAGATGAAGCACCTGCTTGGGAATGGATCAGGAACGTGGCAGGAGATGTGTTGTGGGGGGTGAGTTAGCCCATGTCTGACCGTCTGTGCTCTGCTTTGAGGTGTGTGTGCGGTGAATGGTCTCCTCTACGTGGTGGGAGGCGACGACGGTTCCTGCAATTTGGCCTCGGTGGAATATTACAACCCCAGCACGGACAAGTGGACGTTGCTGCCAACCAGCATGAGCACAGGGAGGAGTTACGCAGGTAAGCAGCCAGTGGGAGAGCTGCCAACAGCTGGGCTCGTGCATAAACTTGAGGGCTGTGCCTCCTGAAGCTTTAATCCAACTTTTTTGTGTGTTTTATGTTGGTTTCAGTAGAAATAGTAGACGCCTCTCTCTGCTGGGCTTTGGCTTTGCAGGGTGATCTGAGCCACCCAGCAGCCCAGGAGCTGCTCCTGCAGTAACTGTCTCTGTCTGTCTGTCCTTACAACAGGTGTGGCTGTGATTCACAAGCCCTTGTGACACACAATCAAGCCAATGTGAGGAGCAGAAGTGAAGTGGATCCAGCTAGGTGGTGTTGGGAAGATGACTGACCTCTGACTTGACCCATCTCATTGCTGTTAACGTCTTAGCATGACGAGTGATACGTTCCAAGCATCATCCACTCCGTGGTGGATTGCATAGCCAAGAGAAAAGCCCTCTGGGGACATGTTCCATGCTAGACACGAGGTGTTGCTTGTTTTCTGTGGTGCAATCAACTGTTCTTCTCAATGGCGTGTCCTGAGATAAACACTGTGCTTGGACTGCAGGCACGGAATTACCTGTGTGAAACAAAACTGCTACGTTTGGGCATGTGAGTAAAAATGAACGTTCCTGGATTTCTTCACTACTGATGCTCCGTGCACATTGTTGGTTGAACTCCTTACTCACTGTGCCTGGAGGGTGGACTTCACTACTGGCAGTGGAAATCTCTGAGTTCCAACTGAGAAAAACAGTCAGCAGAAATGGACTGGAACAGGGTGCTCTGGCTCGAGTGTGACGCTGTCTCAGTCATACGTTTGTACATGCCACTGGACTGCTGTATGTACCCCTGAAATGCTTGTCCTATGGTGGAAATAAATACCATGTGATTTTTCTACTTGCCATGGATGCTGTGTGCTGTACCTGACGGGACCTGCTGGGCAGTGCCTTCCCTGGGGCTGAAGTCTCAGCACCTGAGCCACACCAAACTTCCCAGCCCCACAAAACACATGCTGCTCCCACGGGGTTTGTTGCTCCTGTGAAACAAATGTTGCTTGAATAGAAAGTATTCCCAACCCACACATTTCAGCTGTGCTGAAATCCCCGGTTCTGGCTCTGTCCAGCATTTCAATGCCATTTCATAATAGAGCATTTAGATGTTAAAAACTACCTTATGGTGCCATTAATGTAGAGACATTCCATACAGAGAGAACCCTCTGTCACCCAAGCAGGGATTAATGAGCCAAGTAAAATACCTGCAGTGTTTTAATGCTTCCAGAGCATGGAGATTAACTAATCACTGTCGCTGTAATTGCTATTTTAATCTTGCCCTTACTGAAGGCATTCCTCTATTAGTATGAAGAACTCATAAGATTATTCAAAACAGACAAATGTAGCTCCAGCTGCAGGAGAGCTGTCTTGCTTACATACCAAATTCTTAAAAGTTTTCTGTTTAAGAAGATATTTGACTTTAAAACACTTTGTTGTGTCTCCTTGTGAGCTCTGGCGTGCTTCTGCATACAGGGGTGGGCTCCCAGAGGCTTCCCAGCTAAAGGGAACTAGTGAAGAAAAATATTTTCTCTAGTCTTTTTCTTGTTATTTGTTGTTTGGGTTTTTTTGTTTCTCTCCCGTAGATCAGCTGAGGCTTTTTGTTGTGGGCAGCTGGCCAGTGTTTTTCTGCTGGTTTCTGTCTCCATAGGTCTGTTATCAAAAAGACTCCCCGTGACCTTCGACAGTAGAAAAGAAAAATACTTGAAAGTTCGTTTCAGAGGGATCCACGCTACATCATCTTGTGCAGCTTTTGCAGAGGAGTGGGTTACTTCTGTAAATATGTAGGTCTTTGGTTGACACAGTCCTGGTAAGATGGGTTCACTGTGGGGGAAACAGCACCTACCTTTGCTGTGTCACCCCCCCACAGAGGGACTGGCCTTCATGAGGAATGTTAGGTAGCTCCCACTCCTCTTTGGATGTTCTTGTTTTCACAAACAAAGCCAAACTGTCCAAAGAAAAGGCAGTATTATTCTTGATGTCTACCCTTCCATTGTATGTCAGCTCAGAAGTCTTAAAAATAATAATTAAAAAAAATAAATGAGTCGTTTCTATAATGCCCTTTAAACAGTTTGAGTTTTACGATCTGCAGTGAAACGTGCCAAAATAATAGTATGACATGCTGCTCTTCTCTGAGGTTTTGCTTACTGTAAAAGCCATTGAGGCTGGCAGGAATGTATCCTGGCAGGAATGTATCCCTGACTGCAACTGCCTTGGGATCAGAGTCCTGAGATGCATCTTTACGATGACATGAGGAAGGTGATGAGGCCCCAGTTTGGACAGACTCAAATTCACTGGCCCGAAAAGTGGTTCTCTTTGATGCAGCTCGCGGGAATAAAGGATAAAATGGGACAGGTTTTGGTCAGAGGGAGCATCTCTTGTTAGGCTGAGTGACTGGACAAGGGTGGACAAGCATTCGGACACACATGGCCCTTGTTAGATCTGTACAGACACAAAGCTGGATAAACTCCTGTATGAGCTGCTGCAGAGCCCCACTACAGCTCAGCAGTTGGGAACAGTCCCCAGCCAACCCTCTCACACCCGTGGCTTCACTGCAGCAAAGGCAAATACTGTTCAGGGACTCTGAATTTCTGTGGGCTGGAGATAAAAGCCAGTAGGTACTGCTGGAGAGGAGCAAGGTTGAAATCTGCTGCAGTTGTCAGATGTGGAAAGTGGATATGCCTGAAGGTGGAATAATTTTATCCCCCGCTATCCATCTATTCGTAAGATATTTTCCTTAGGAGGAAAACAGGTTTTGGTGTTTTTCTGCTATTGTAAAATGGCATTTCTGCCCACTGCTGGCCCAGACCTGTGGCTTGCTGGACAGGGCCAGGACTCCCAGCCCTTGCCAGGGACGAGTGATGCTGTTCCCAGCTGCAGCCAGTTCTCCTCGATGGCAAATGATACATTTCTTTCTCTCCTCCTCAAACAGTTGCAGTGTTATGCAAGTCAAGTGACCTCGTTTTCCAGCTATGCAATACCAACAACCCTAACACGTGATGAACCAGCTGTAAACCCCACCCTACCCCACCCCAGAAATGCTTCTGGAATTTGTCTTTGGCCTGTGGTTTCGTGTTTGTATTGTTCATCCTGAGCACCTGAGCCAGATCCTTTACAGATTGCCTTTTTCTAGGGACTGAAAACGTAGCATTAGCGCTAACAGATTTTACTGTAAATATTTTTATAAGACAGATTTTAAATAATTTTTCTGGATCGCTTTTTATGGTCGTCAGTGACAATTCTGTTAAATCCTGGGTCTAATTCTTGCACTCCAGTGCGGTTTTTGCTGGCTGTGGTGTAGGTGTGACTCTGCACGTTCTCTGCACAAGAAATGCCGTGTTGTAACTGAGATCTGGGATAGCTCTTGTGTTGATTCTAACCTATGAGAAGGACAGCACTGGGCTCCACATTATGAGATAAATTCAAATCCATTACCTCAGTCACCAGGACACTCTTAGATTATTATTTTACGATGATTTCAATACTCTGATTTAATTTACTTGTGCCATGTGTTTGGTTCCCAGTCAGTTTGGGGGACAAGCTGTCACTCGACCATCCTCTTCCTTGGCTCCTGTGTGAGCTGCTTGAAGATGGAGATGCTCTGCCCAAAACAGCGTGGGCACAACCCCCCAGGCTGCCAAAACCAGCCAAATTATTGCAGGAGGCTTAGTAAAAGCTTTACCCACCAAACCTGGGCCGCTTCCTCGTGTTGGTCCTTTGTGAATATGAAAGGCTTTCCTCAGCTCCTGTTGTCACCTCTTTTTGGGATCACCCTGTGCTTGACCCCCTGTGGGATTTTCTGGCCTTGGGTTTTCCCAAAGGTGGTTTTGCTGTTGCAGAGGATGCACCCTGGGGATGTGCCCCCCAAACCCCACCAGCATCTCACATTAGATGCACACGCTGCTGGGCTTGCAAAGCAGGATAGATTTGCCTCAAGCAATCTGTTGTTTGAAAAAGTTTGAATCAAGTCCATCTTTTCCATTTGTGCCTAATAGATAAATTGGGGGTGATTAAAGCCAATTTTCACTTCATTCAGTTTACCCAAACACTTTCTTTGTACAGATGTGTGCAGCCTGTAATTACCATAAATACACTTGGCAGCGTTTGCGTGACACCACCACGAAAGCTCAGCACTGTTCTCTGGTTTGCAGTGTTTGGAGACCAAAATCCTTAATACCCAGCGAGGTGCAATGCCTGTTCACCAAGCTAACATGATGGTTCAACAGCTAGATTAACCTTTGGGATTGTTACTAATATATTATCAAAGCAGTTGCCCCCTTGGTTTAACATCATGCCCACAAATCACATTCTCATGAGCATAACTCGTTGCTCAAAGCTGCAGTGTTGGGAGTGTGTTAGGTATTACAGTCTGAATATGGGCTAATTCACTTTTTTTCATCTGCTCTTCTCTTGTTTCTGGGTTTATAAATTATTTTCCTCTGCAGTGACAATAAATAAATATTGAGAATTTTAATTTGTATATTTTATGTATAAGAAGACCCTTAAGAGTAATGAATGATTGTGAAATAATTTACCTGGGTGTGAATTTTTTTGGTTTTGTAAAACAGCCTTTGTTGGTTCAGTAGCTGGCAGTATACCATAATGAGTCAGTAGACTGTTTAAGCTTGTTTTTTAAATTAAAGATTTTTTTTGCATGAGTGTGGAGGACCAAGGACTTTGCAAAGTAATTCTCTTGACAGCTGTCTTGTCCAGTGTGACAAATGACTCCAGAAACATTCATATTTATATTATGAAAGAAAATCACACTGTAGTCCCCCATCATTTAATTTGAATAAAACCTGAACTAATGAAACTTTTCAGGGTCTGTTTTGATTTCACTGACAGCGCGGAACAATCTCATCACTCCAAGTGACTTTATTTTCCCCCTCTTTAATTACAGCAGATACAAAGCCTGGGTTTACTTTGTGCCCCTTGGCCTGGGGTAGTGGTACCCACACGTGCTGATGCTGAGAGGAGAAGCTGCCCTGATCCTGTCCCAGACTCTGCTCTGCTCCTTTTCCCAGGGAAGTTAAAAGCTGCTTTCCTGCTGGGGTGCAGGAGAAGGGCATTTCTTTTGGGGGTGGGAAAGCCCTTGGTTTAGGGCACAGATGGCAGAAGACAGAACCTTTTAGTGAATGCAATTGGGAAGAGAATAAAACATGAAAAAGGAGAGTTTATCCTCATGGGCTCAATATTTCTTAATAACACCATAAAGTAATATATTAAACAAGTTGCCCAACTCATTTTACCTTATGTTTACAATACATCTCACTGAGCTCTCTGGTTTTCCAGGAACGTTCCTCGTGCCTCATCTGTTAATACCAATGTATGACATCAAATTTACCATGTGGGATCCTGAAATTTAATTACCTGACGAGCAGATAATGACATATTGTGGGCTGCTCTATGCAGCTGGAGGACTTTGCAATTATTCCTTATTTTATTTCAAAATGACTTTTCTCCCGCACAGTTGGCTCCTTTTTATTCACGTTTAAACTGATAAATCTATAAATCTGTGAACCTGCAGCTGAAGAAAAGCCTTTGCAATACAGGAAAAAAAAAATCTCACTGCCTTGATTTTGCTGCCTGATTTTTTTTTCTGCTATTATTGTTTCTTTTTGTAGCTTACATTTTAATATTTTGGCATGTGTTCCACCCCAGATTTCACCCTTGGCAGCACAGGGAGGTTATGGCAGCAGCTGCCACTTTGCCTCATTCACCTCAGAAGGGTAAGTAGTTTTGGAGTGAGGAAAGAAAAGGGGACAGGAGAGAGAAAAGGAGAGGAAATATGAGGAAAACTCACCCAGTGGGGTTACAAGCTCAGAAAAGCAGCTCCCCTCTTTGTTGCTGGGTATCACACATCTTGGAACAACCCAGGGTGAGATTTGCCTCTTCTGTTGTATAATTTGTGAGCCATCTGGAACTGGAATCAAAGGTAGGGCAGGAAACAGCCTCAGCTCTGGAAACTTCAACATCTGATCGAGGATGACCCTATTTATGAATAAATAAGGCCAAAGCAGGATTCCCTGCATCCCCCTGCCCTGAACTGCAGTGATGAGCTGGCCTGGAGGTGGGACATGGCTGTGGAGGCTTCAGATGGCAAAATTGCTTCTGCCCTGGCAGAGGTTTGTTCTTTGGCTGTGCTGAGGGTGCTGTGTGATGGCAAAGAATGATTGCAATAAAAAAAAAATAAAATCTGTTGGATACTTCTGAAAAAGCCCGTGGGAGGCAAAGGACCACTGCAGACACATTGCCACGAACCACCCAGGGTTCCCAAAGCATCCCACAGTTACTCAGTGACTGATGATATTGCCTCACAGAATGTTATTCTGCACTGTAAACAAGCACAAAATCACTTAACTACTTAGTGATACGAAATATTCCAAGAAATTTGCCAAAGTGATTAATGTTAACATTTTTGTTCAGCAAATTGAATGAGATTTAATTGGCACAGCTGCTGAAGCTCAATGCATTTGATTTGGCCTCGATTTACAGAATGTGAGCCTTCTCCTTCTCTCACTGCAAACCTCCACAGCCTCTGCTCAGCTTATTGCTCAGTGAATTACAGGTCTTAAGTGTTAGAGTATCCTTTTTTTCAATCAGTAAATCTTCTAAAAAGGCCCTTTCAAATATGTACAGCACCTGTCCCAAAGGATCTGTTCTTCTTTTCTAACCATAAATGGTTTAAATATTACTTTTCTATGTCTTTCTTATACTTCTTTACATTATACTCTTTCCACAATGTTATCTCACCCAATGGTGAATTTGTCCCACTGGACAAATGCAGAAATATAATTTAGTGGTCACAGCACCAAAGCTGACAGAGCTCAAGAAGCATTTGGATGATGCTCTCAGGCACAGGGTGTGACTCTCAGGGATGGTCCTGTGCAGGGGTAAGAGTTGGACTCGATGATCCATGTGGGTCCCATCCAAATTAGCGTGTTCTTTGATTCTGTGACTTTCGTGACAGAATTTTCTCTGATGGAAACTACAGAATTTAGAGAGCTACAGTCTTCCAGGCAGCTCTAATTTAATTCAGAATTGGGTAATATTTCTTACCTGGGTAAGGAAAGTTCAGTGAAAGCTCAATGAACTGGCATTTTGCACGTTATCAGTTTAGTTTGAAATGCATTAATATATATAAAGTGTGTAATCACATAGGCTTTAATCCAGTGCTGTAGCATCCCAGGGCACATGTCATGTGCCAGAGTGTTGGAGCTCTGACCCCATGCACAGAAATCCCTGGGGCTGCTGCATGGACACGAAGTGACAACAGACCATGATTAGGGAGTAGACAAAATACTGTTGATAAATAGTGGCTAATTTGTGGACTAAAGGAAAACAGCCTGGGACATTAATTTGTGGTTACCTAAAAAGGCGAGCGTGATAAAATCATTCCATGAGTGTTAGATTTTGTCTAAATTGACTTTCCATGTTCAGACCAGGTTTGGGGGTTTAAATGGCTGAGGGCTCTGACACTGAAGGGCTTTCCAAGGTTTTAGGATCTGTCTCTACCACCCAGCCTGATGTAAGGAAACCACTGTGACTCCCAGCACTGCTTCTCCCTTTATCCTCCCATCTGTCTGCATCCTGTCAAAACACCCATCAGGTAACAGGTTGGGGGTCCACGACTCTCTTGCATTTTCTTCTCCTCTGTAGTTCTTAAATTCTCCCTTTATCTCTGACTTTGGAAGGAGGAAAGGCTGCAGGATGTGTCTGAGCCTGTGTGTGCCATGGTCCAGTCTCATCCCATGGACAACCCAAGCAAAAGGAGGTTTAAAAGCCTACAAGAGAGGGTGGTGTGAGCAGACTTGTCTGAAAGAAGTGGTATGGCTCAAAAATCAGTCTAGTGACTGGTTACATAAGCTGTTTTTAATAGCTGTATCTCAAATGTAAAACACTCTTCTGCTTTTGAAACCATATATGACACTGGGAATAACTTGGCTTATCTAACACAAAATGAAACCATTGTTTTTATATTCTTTGTTAAAGAATAAAACAGTGGTAAACCCTCTAGAAGCAAATTACTTAAAGCAGGAGCACCTGTTTGACAACTTAACCTTAATTGGGATCAACTGGTTCAAGCACAGGTGTTGCTGCCTCACTTGCATCCACCCCCCCCCCTTTCCCCAGCCACCCTGTGCAGGGGAGCTTTGGTCACTGTTCTGGCTTGTTTCCTGCTTTTTCTTTGCAAGAAGTGCCTTATGTTCCTTGTTGGTCCCAAACAACTTGTCCCACCAGCTGAAAACAGGGAACAGTTTCTGCGGAAGTCACCACGGTGGAAGTCATGGTGGATGTACCAAAGAGGGTTCCAGAGGACACCAAACCCCTGCTGAGGCTGAGGAGAGTGAGGATGGAGCTGCAGGAGAAATGGTAGGTACAAAGTGGTGGGAGCTCTTAGCCCTGTGTCACAGGGATGGTTTGTTGTTTGGACAGAGGTGGGTGCAGCCCCCCTTGCTGGGAAAGGCATTTTGCAGGTGGTGGTGCCTGTGCAAGGTCACAGTGAAGCTCTGTGTTTTCTCCCATTGTGCTTCCTCTTTGCATCCCTAATGTTTATGCTGGAAGGACAAGAAGTTCTGAGACCCCTCCCTTAAGTGTAGTGGATGTTTTCCTACAAGGAGATGATGCATTGAGGACGCACCACCTTGGCTTAGCCTGTCCTTGGAGCTGGATGTTTCCCTCAAGAGTTGTTCTATGTTTAACTAGTTCCATCATTTAACGCACTTGTTTATGGCAAAATATTGCAGCCTCAGGTGCTGACTGAAGGAATGTGGGGCTCCCTGCTGCTGTCCTGTTGCTGGTGGGATGCACTGAGGTCTGGCTGCAGCCCAGGTGCCACTGCTTGGGGATCCAGCTTGGTTCAGGTGGGAATTCTGGTTTGGCTCCCAGGGGGCTGTCCCAGCATGGATAATCTGTCAGTGCCATCAGCCTGTTTGCTCATACAGGGTTTTTTCACTAGTACATGGTCCTGGATGATACATGAAGAGACACCACTCTCTGGTTCCTTTCCAGGATGCCATTTATTATAACTCTTTTTTGTTCTTTCTGGGTTTTTTTAATGCTTCAGCACTTTCCCTTTGTCCCCTGTGTGTGCACAGTGTCAGTGACAACCAGCTCTGCAGATGGGGAGCACCTTGTGGCTCCACCTGGGTGTCCCCTGTGCTGGTGACATTCAGGGCTGATGTCCCTGTCCAAAAATGTCCCCTGAGCTACAGCAGCAGCTGAGGAGACAAATGTCAGTCTAAAGGGTGGAGCAGAGAAAGGCAGAGGGTGGGGAGCACAGCCAAGAATAAAGATCCTACCTTCACAGGAGGGTACATAGAGATTATAAGAGATTTATCAGGTTGTCATTTGTGAAGGGGTGAGAGGGAGGATAATTCCCACATGAGTTGTGAAAAATGCCTCTTACCTGAAGACAAATTAATTTACTTTTTTTTTTTTCCTGGACTGAAGGTGTCATTGAGCTGTAAAAGTTAAAAAAGTATGTAAGTATATTAAACTTGCACAGAAAATGAGCCTTAAACCCTCATCCACAAGGAGACCTGAATTTGGGTAAAGGAAAATATATGGTTGTTTTAGTGATATGTGCAAGAGAAAGATACTTCACTTATTGGAGTTTTGCTCAATAAAAAATGTGTCCTCCTGTGCTAGAGAAGTTTTGGTCTCCCTTACAGTGATTTTAACATTGTGGCTGTAGTTGAACAATTTCTCTTATGCATCAACCACCTAAGAATAATTAACCCAAATTAATCCACCTCTGTTTTCTGTGCCTTTAATAATGTCTTATTGGTATGTTTGATAGTTAATATGACA